TGTCATGATCACGTGACCTACCCACGTGAGTTGTGTCGCTTCACTTCCATTTATGAATTCTGTAGTGGGGCATCATTGGAGAGCGTGGCGGCCATAGAATGCGCACTTCAGAATCTCGCCAGAAGTAGTAGGTTATCAGGGTACTTGCGAACTGTTTTTCGAATTCTATGAAGTTGGACATACTACTCAGCTCGCATACGTATTTTACATACTATATAATATGGAAGTATGCGATTTCGTGCGCAGCCTGGGTGTTTACAAGTGTTGAGTCCCATGAAGGAGCTCCAGGAAAAAACTTTTGTTTTGTGTTTACCTTATGATAAAATTTGATGCATGAATGAGCGTGTTTTTAACTACTTGTACATTAAGGTAGCGTTCAGAAAAAAAACATTACACCAGCAAAGAAACTCGTCACAGAGGAACATAAAAATCTACTGTCAGCTAGCGTTTCGGAAGTGTTATTTCAGAGCAACACAAACAGCACAAAGAAGTATAATTGCACGACTACCTGCAAGGCAGGCGCAGTGGGTCATGGCGATCACTCGACGCAGAAGTATAAACCAGCCTAGGAGAAAGGCGATTCTCGATAATTAATTTTGAGAATTAAAGTCAATATTCTGATGTTGTCGAGCATTTTTGTGCTAATACCTTTGTAATTCAGTTTTCTTTCCTCCAATTGGTGAAAGACTCACAACTTCCTTCATTATATATTTTCTTCCTGTTACAGAAACAAGCTTCCATAGCCAAGCACTATTCTAGATTAGAAGAAAAAAAAATCTTAGTTAATAAAAACACATACGTAGTTCGTCCTGCAATTTATTCCTCGTTCTTTTATTTATATGCCTCAATCCGAAGCCTAACCTTATTTATTCAGTTCAGGACTCTTCAGTGAAACAGATTTAAAATACTTGCAATTTAATTGGCGACTTGAAGGACCTTGTGCAAATGAGCATGAACCCAGTGTGATTCCACTCCAGTTCGTCGGGTTCAGAGATCAGCGCACACTGTGTTCCCAATTTCTCCAATGCGCCGCTGAGCAGAACATGTTAAGAAATGATTCATGAGCTTAAAAACACCACAAATCTATCCCTCATCTACATGCATGCTGGCTGCTTCCTAAAAAAAACATACTCCCATCCTGTGATTCCAAAATTACGGTACAGAAAAAGTCTTATCTAGCTGTATACAGAGAATTGAGCTCCATATATGTTCATTCCAACAGAGATGAAGAATGAAATGCTGTCTGCGGTTATATATTATCCTCGCTGTCTTTCAAAAGGTGCTCGGAAAAACAGTCCAGCTCAAAGCTATAATTCTGCACTCACTGTAAAACTAGATTTCACACTTGTCTGTTTTTTGAAAAGTGGAATGTAACTTGTGCAACACACACACACACACACACACACACGCTAGTATAATTAGGTTAGCGTTGCAATTTTATGCTCACTTTAAGATTATGTATGGATTGTTTGTATTTTATATGTATTTTCAATTGTAATTCTGACTCTGCTAGCTGGCGATACGGTGGCTCAGTGGTTAGCACTGTCGCCTTACAGCAAGGAGGTCGCTGGTTCAAGTCCCAGCTGGGTCAGTTGGCATTTCTGTGTGGAGTTTGCATGTTCTCCCCATGTTGGTGTGGGTTTCCTCCGAGTGCTCCGGTTTCCCCCACAGTCCAAAGACATGCGGTATAGGTGAATTGAATAAACTAAATTGGCCATAGTGGCACATAATGTGTGTATGGGTGTTTCCCAGTACTGGGTTGCAGCTGAAAGGGCATCCGCCATGTAAAACAGATCCTGGATAAGTTGGTGGTTCATTCTGCTGTGGCAACCACTGATGAATAAAGGGACTAAGCCGAAGGAAAATGAATTCTGCTAGCTTGTAGCAACGTGCTAATTCCATCACAAAACTCTGCATGATTGTTCTGAATTAAAGTATTTAAACAACAGAAAATATGATTGAATCATTAAAAACTGCTACTTTACATCAAATTGGAGCCAGGCGTGAATGGAAACTGTCAGTCGATCATAAAAAAAGGATGAGAATTACTTCTTAGAAATTAGCATTGGCTAATGATTGAACAATGCTCATTAAAGAAGCATATTACTGTATTCCGAGATTCATTTATTTATTTTTGGCTAATGTTTTAAACAGGGAGGAGCTACACAATGTCCCACCGTCTCCCATGTTTTTTCAGGTAAGATTACTTCAAACATTGAATAAAAAATGCACATTTCAAAGCACTACACGGGACATTTAAGGTTGATCCACTGAAGTGCAGCTCCATCAAAATGGAGGATCATTCAAGATGTAGGAGATTTTGATTTATTTAATTTTAAATAATACATTTTCTCAGTAGAAAATTAAAGCTGAAAATGTGGCCCTTAGAGGCTGCATGGTGGTGCAGTGGGTAGCATGTTCACCTCACAGCAAGAAGGTCACTGGTTAGAGCCTCAGCTTGGTCAGTTGGCGTTTCTGTGTGGAGTTTGCATGTTCTCTACGTGATCGCGTGGGTTTCCTTCAGCTGTTCCGGTTTCCCCTACAAGTCCAAAGACATGCGGTATAGGGGAATTGGGTAGGCTAAATTGTTTGTAGTGTATGTGTGTGAATGAGTGTGTATGGATTTTTCAAAGTGATGGTTTGCAGCTGGAAGGGCATCTGCTTTGTGAAACATATGCTGGATAAGTTGGCGGTTCATTCTGCTGTGGTGACCCCAGATTAATAAAGGGACTAAGCCGAAAAAGACAATCAATGAATGAACGAATGAAGTAAACTACTCCGGCACCAAAAAAAAAAAAAAAAAAAACATATTACATGTATACATACAAAATATCAGTGTCCCCATTTTTCTGTTTTGTATTCTAAATTTTTAATACAATGCACTGAGAAACCATTGACAAGAAGATGAGGGAACTTAATATTAAATGCTGTATAAACACAAATACATTTAAATGCAAAACTGTGTGAATTTCACACCACCTTTAAAACGCAGTAACATCTGGATGACAAATTCCATATGCAAATTAGATGTAAATTTTATGTATGCGCATTAATAAAGCCCTTTGTAAATTCCATATGTAGTCGTTTCAAGGAGAGCTGAATAATTTCAGTAAATTTGAATTATTTTGATCTGATTATACAGAAAATCTGCCATTTGTGATTCAAGTGTATCTTCATTATTTTTACATTAAATAGAAATGTGAAATAAAGGGTTAGTTCACCCAAAATTTAAATTAACTGAGAATTTACATTTTACAATCTGACTAATTTTTACGAGGTGACTGTTTCTTCAGTAGCACATTAAAGACGTTTATAGCTGAAACTGTCATCCTTGGTAATGTAGTAAGGCCTCAGTATATCATAAGGGGGACACCAATATAATTTGATTTTGCTTGTATTCACCTTATTCTCTGTGTATCTTTTTGGCTCAAGACTTCCGGTCTTATTCACTTCCATATATTTTTAGACGTTAAATACCGCTTGTTATGCTACTTGTTGCAAATTGATATTTCTTATTATATGATTCTGCTGTGTCTGTATAATCATGCAAACTTGTTTGTAGAGCAAATAGTTTAACCGTTTTCTGCAGATTATTATTCCTAATCATTTCTCCCATAGGCAACTGAATCAAAAATTCTAAAACAATCGCAAAAACGAGTGCACTTCTGCATTAAAGAATAAGGTCAATACATGTAATATGTTATTTTATTTTTTATTTTTTGGTGCGAGAGTAGTTTACTTGCGTTTTTTAAAATCTAAAAGGGCCACAGTTTCAGCTTTAATTTTTTACTGATGAAAAAAAAATAAATCTTGAATGTTCCTCCATTTTGGTGGAGCTGCACTTCCGTGGATCACCCATAATGGTCCCGTGAAGTGCTTTGAAATATGCATTTTTTATTAAATTAAACATTAACGTAATTTTAACTGAAAAAAAAACATGAGATAGGGTGGGACATAGCTCCTTCCCTTTTAAAGCCTTAGCCAATAGCATTATGTTTTATTACAGCTCTGCCAGTGAGAGTGGTTGAGCTCAAGCCAATCAAATGATGGCTGTTTCTCAATTGCAAGAACGCAGAGATTGAACTTGCGTTCATGTGGAGAGCAGTCTTGCCAGATCACCCTGGAAGAACTAACTCTGGAGATCGCGAAAACAGAAACGCATCCTGTGAGAAATGAAATGCTGCGTTCTTCCTGATGGTTACGTATTTAAAATAGGAAAATTATTTAAACATTACAGCATTTATTCATTTATTGTTTTCCCCTTTTCAAAATATATAAAATGCACAAAAACTTTACAAATGTACAGTGAACAATACACATAAAACAGATTTTAACATGAATTTCAGCAAATAAACACCCTTAAGGCGGTTAAGCCTTTAGTAAGATTTTCATGGTAATGTTTACTCTGAATGTTTCATTTAGGGAAACTCCTGAGATAAATAAGTTATATCTCTAAACTTTAATAATAAATCTATTTAAAACGCTACGCTTCACACCTCTTTAATTCAGCCGCAATGACTTCTTTGATTTCTCAAGCAAGTTTTGCTCTCAAGTATGCATTGACGCATCCTCGATATCAAGAACACAGGAACTTCCAACATTCTCCGTTCTTGCGATCTTGAGTTTTGGAACTGACCTTTTGCAGTTGATGATGACCATATTGAAAAACAGCCAAAAAGCATCTTAAAGGGGGCATGTCAGATACTAGAGAGCATTTGATTGGTCACAATTTGATGAGAAAATGTAGTATGAGGTGATGAGGGGAAAAAATCTTTGATCGATTTAAGCGGAAGTGACAAACTACAAGCTTTACATGTTTATATTTGATTTAGATCTTCTAAACACAAATTTTGTCACTTTTTTTGGAGCACACTAGCTAATAGTTGTCCTTAAAACTAAAATATTTAAAAATTATTTAATTTCACATAAGCTTTAACAGTAACCTTGCATATTAATCTGTATATCCTGCATTTTAACCTTAATAAGTGTTCTACTACCACTCCTCATTAACCTGCCTGGTATGCTGAACATGTCCCACAAACTGCAATGTCATGACTTCTTAATTCGTAAAATCTACATCGTATAAAGCGCTATAGAAAAAAGCGTGACTGAATTGATGTTCCCAGGGTGAGCAAAATAACAGGAAATAATAATCATTGCGTGAACTCTTTCATTTTAATTTCATGGTAATACCACAGTGAAGAAACAAAACTAATTGAGCCAAACCAGACTAGGAGTCAGTGCGAGATGAATATTTGTTTAATCAAAGCGTACAATTTGATGCCTCCATTTGGGAAATGGCTGACTGCACCAGTTGTGTGTTTAAACGTGTGTGTGTGTGTGTGTGTGTGTGTGTGTGTGTGTGTGTGTGTGCGTGTGTGCGTGTGTGCGTGTGTGCGTGTGTGCGTGTGTGCGTGTGTGTGTGTGTGTGTGAGTGTGTGCATATCCATCTCCTCAGCAATACATTCCCTCCCCTCTCTGCTTGCGTCTGCACTGTACGTCTCTCTCTCTCTCTGAGTCAGACGAAAACAAACACAGCTCTCTGATCTCTGCATACACACATACCAAACACCCACCCACCCGTTAACCCACACATACTCCACACACACACACACACACACACACACACACACACACCAACACCACCCACACACACTCTCTATCAGACATGCATTTGGCACACAAAAGCCAGACTCGCACACATTAGAGCACGTTCGCATAAACAAATGCACACACATTAAAAGCATGCCTTTGGCGCACGCTCTCGCTTTCCTGTCAGCCTCCTCGCATGAATGCACAGACATTAGCATACAAGTCTCCAAAAATGGAAATGAAAAAGAGGCTCAAAAGTAGCACGCATGCATGCATACATACAGACTCATCCAGGCATTTTCTGTGCACTGCCTTCCCACCATTTCTGTCTGCCACAGACACCCGAGCACCAACTTTCACTCTTTAAGGCAGTGCCGAACAGTCTGGTTCAGATTTTCTGTGCAAATATCTCATTCTCATCCCATCGTACTGTGATTAAGACTTGGTGCAGTCTCTCAGGATCGTACCACGTGGCTAAGAGGTAAAAACAGCTCATGTCTGGCCCAGTGCAGTCTATTGACAGACTTCGGCTGCCATTTTTCAAAAGTAACTTTGGGATAATTCACTCAAAATTCGAAGTTTAGAAATATAAGTTTTGTGGGCTTTCTGCTATTAGATATTCAGTTTCGAAGTCTAGCACTTGCATATTGTGCATCAGTGCAAATATCTACAATGGTCATGTTTATTTTGCAGTCTTTAAAACTAGGGGGGGAAGCTGTGGTGGTAAACTAGACACTGCGAAAAAAGAACATTTGTTGGTTGCACTTTGTATTCAGAAATATAAAAATGTTTATCATACAAGCACTAATAACCAGTCTCTCCAGGATTTTGTGACCCCAATATATCTTGAGGTCAAATATATAAATAAAATTGTGTATTTTTTACAGCAAAACCCATGAATTGCAGCTTATAATGGCAACATTTGAGGAAAGTTGTGAGAAAATCAGTGATTGTAGGCTGCATATATTAAAAATAGTCCCTGCAAAATCCTGAAGAGACTGTATAACATAAGGAATTTAAAAGGAATAATTTTCCAAGAATTAAATTTGAATAATTGTCATTATATATTAGATATTTTAAGTAATATTTTTGTCCGTGCGATGGAAAGCCAATGGCTAAGTTTACATGAACACCAATAATCCTATTTTAATTTGATTAAGACAATACTCTGATGAAGAATCTACCATGCCTATATGCCTATTTTAGTCGCATTATTAAAGTGCAGTATAGACATGTAAACACTGCAATCAAACTGTTACCGTCATGTAGGATCTTCGCCGCATTTTGCGACAGGATAGTCTGTACAAGCACATCTCTTTGACACTATTCTTTGCACCTACCCAGTCAGTGAGGAAAAACAGATACCTTCATCATGAAATGTGGAGATTTTTTGGCCATAAGGCATGCTGTATTAAATTCCATTAAAACAACACTCTTCCAACAGTTCCTCGCATCCAATATCTTGTTTGTCAAGGGGGCATGCATGAAATGTTCTTGATTGTTAGTGAAAGTGGCAAATTGCAGTTCACCAGCATGGACCAAGCCACACTTTGAGCTAGACTTTATTGTAGGGATGAATAGATAAAGAATGGATAAAGAAACAGTGGGATGAAGGGGAAGGGAAGTAAGAGGCTGGTATGACATTTTCCAGGCCTAGTAAAGTTTTGCAGAAACAAAAAAACCCACAAGGTTTTGGAAAAGTCATGAAAAATGAAAATTACATTTACATTTAGCCGACATTTATGTCCAAAGCAACTTCCGCTGAGGTCATATTTTAATATTCTTATTTTAAATAACCTTTTCTTGTGATCTCACGCAATTAACTGATGTGATTTCGCAGGTAAGAATTTACCAAGCTTGAACTTTCGAATGCAGTGAAATGCGAAACTTGTTGCACTTGCTTGTGTTTCTGGTTTGACGCATTTGCATGCCTATAAACGGAAGTCCAAGGAGTGAAAAATAAAGTGTGATCGCTGCTTTATAAGAGAATAGTTTTATCTACTATTATTAGTTTAACAAACTATTAACATTATGTAAAATTAGTCTGACAAATATCTGTATTCTGGATTGGAGGTTAGTTGTTTTTACGTCTTTACTTGGCCAAAAACATGCTCTCACATAATTAATGCTGTGCAAGCATCATCTATTTTACATAGATATAAAAATATGTTTGAACTAAAGAGGTTGTTGCATGTTTTATGATATGCTATAATAAATGTAAACGTGGATTGTTTTTCTTATGATTTACTATGTACACGTAGACGTTACATGAAACATTGGGTAATAAAAATTTACTTAAGTCTTGGAAAATCATGGAATTTTTGGAGTAAAAATGTGTATGAACCCTGAAGAGGATAAACCGTGAACAGGCAAGTAGGTCAGTTGGGTGTCCTACGATGATGCCCAGAGACGTGGGGGTACAGTCTCTGTAATACTTTGGTAGAGTGATTGGACAACCCTGATTCAACCTGGGAGGGAGGAGACAGTTATAGGATTGTCAGTGGGAAGCGAGGAAATAGAGGGAGGGTGGGTTCCAAAGAACGAGAAGAACAGTGCTAGAGAGCTGGTCTGCCTTAACCAATCACCTACTCCCTAAAAACTTATTTAAGGAGACAAAGTGAGGCGTGGTTCTGCTGCCGAGCTTTTGTTAACTACACAACCGAAATTACTAGAAACTCTGGAAGAAATGTGGATGGTGTGGTGATGTTAAGTAAATTATGTGCTGTAACATGTAAAACTGGATCATGAAAAGAACATTCAACAAGCATCTCATGTCAACAACTTAATCATATTATTGTCTCATTCAGAGTAAGGCAAACAATTTGATTACTGATGTACATGTAAACGTTGCAGGTGTTAAGAAAACTGTTTGGATACCAATATTCTTAGCTTCTACACTTTAGATTTTTTGTGCATGCAAAGTAGCTTCAAAGTAGTTTCTCAGCATGAAAATATTTGCATGAGTAACTGTAAAATGAAACTCCAACTGAACTTGGGTGTTTTTGGGGTGAACTACTACTTTAAAGTAAAAAACATAAAACGTTAACTCTTACAACCCACTTTTGTGCTAATAATTGAGCATTTAGGTTCTAACAATTTTGTATATTATGCCATTCTTCAGCCATGATCAAATATTCAAACAAAATATAAGTGTGCTTAAAACACCTGAAGAGACAGGTCATACTTTGGGAATCAAATTTTAACGCATCCCCAAATATTTCAGGGGTGCAACAACATGCTTTCTTGAAGTCTGGGGTTAAAACATCTCTTTATTTAGAGACTTCAAGAACTTCTCCTTTTGACATACTTAAAAACTAAAAAAAAAAAAAAAACTTTTAAAAAAGCCTATAAAACAGCTTCCACTCTCAGAGTGGTTTTAGTGGTTTAGAACCACAATAGCTGTGACACCGATGCCTGTTCAGTGCCAATCTCTAATACTGCACTCGGCCCACTTCATCAGAGCATTTAGTGCATCTCTGTCAAAGGCGCTGAGGCGTAGCATGTCAGAATGCAGCATCATGCACCACACTCCTGCCAAAGGTGCATGAAGCAGTCAGCTGCATCAAAACTACCATCTGCAGTCGCCATACACACATTTATACAGCGCAATGCCAGTCCTGCGTCATCTATACAAAACTACTAAGGAAATAAAGACTATTGTTAAAGCTTTTGGGATTCGCTTTGACATTAAAAACTTCCAGATTTGATTTAACAAAACCAATTTTAAGCTTTGGTAATATACCAAAATAAAAAGGCTGAAATAATCTTGGATTTCGCTAACGCAAAAACACATGGATAGCTATTTCGAATTCATTGATTCAAAGGGCGAGAATCTTCAGTCTCTCTCTATCAAAACACAACAGTAGTTTCAGATATACCAAAACAGATTCATCTGCCTCATACAAATTCAGAACAATCAATACAAACTTCCTCTCTCGGGATACTTGGCAAGACAAATGAAGGAACAGTTTGGCCAAAAATTACAAATAAAAACAGAAAAACAAAACATTAAAGGGTGTTTAAAAGAGGAAATGGAGTCCAGGAAGCAAATACACAGCTATTAAATATTAACAGATGAATACAATCTGACGTCCAGCAATATTCACTCTCTGCATTCTCCATAAAAAGATACATTCAGAATCATGACAGTGTTTGTACACTGAATAGACGCTTCCAGACACCATTTCCCCTTGGGTTCACCCTTAAATGTTCCCATAGGTCCCTTCTCTTCAGGAATGTATTTCTGCAGTATGAAGAGGAGAGCCTTCAAGGTACAATCAAAACATAAAAACTACCAGCTTTTTGGAAATCAAACTCAATAACGGTCTTCTTAAAGATACACATGGCGATTCCCTGATAACAACGGCCAAAGTGAGACTGGGATGCATTGGAGGAGTGGAGAAGGGAAAGAATAGCTGAACCATGGTTAGTGTTACTCACTAAAACAAGCTGCTACCATCCCCGCTAACGCCGTGCAGGGCATCTGCAGATGACTGGCCTGATTCAGAGGCTGGACCACCTTCCAGGGATCCCGTTTCAAAAGCATTCTCCACTCCCAAGCCGTCAGACTCCAGTTTGGCGGCGTCTGAAAGGAAGTTGGCGTAAGCGTCGCTTTCTGCCATTAGAAGCTTTAGTTTGGGAATCCAGCTCTTGCGGACCACGCGCCGTGCGTTCGTGCACATGTCTGCAGCGATTGCGTTCATTTCGCTCTCTTTGAAACTGGGAGCAAAGTTCTGGCAGTAAACTGGAATTTGAGAACAACGAAGACGTTGGTTCACTGTGTTCCGTTTACTCAAAGCTATTAAGAAAGATGCTTAAACATGGTCAACAAATCAGTGCATTAATTAATGTATCAATATTGGTAACTTACACTTAACAGCGTGAAGAACCCGACTGTCGAGGGGCTTGCGATTTGGGTCGTTGGTGGAGGAACGAATGCCTGTACCACAGCTGTTTGCAAGAGTGCTTCTACAGGACAAATAAAGAACTTTTAGAGCAATATATACATAATACATTAATATTTGCATGCTTGATTGATGCATAAGTTTAATGAGGTTCATTTGAACATGCAAAAACCAAATGAGGTTTGTTCTTATGTTTCAAACTATAGTTCACCCTAGAGCTGCACAATATATCGTTTCAGCATCAATATCGCAATGTGCTAGTGTTGTCAAGATACTGGAATTCGATACCAATCGGTATTGAAATTTTAAAAACGTCTATTTCCCGAATACTTAAGAGATGTTGAGCATGTTCTTAAACAGTGCTGATTTGCCATTGTGTTCACGTGCTGGCCGTGAAGGTCATCAGTTTACTGGACTCACTGCTGTTTATTGCATGTAACCACAGATACAGGTACACTTGAGCATTTTAAAGCTGCGAATCCTCAGCGGATCGCTCATATTTCAGCTTATAGACAAACCAGCTGATCGACGTGACTTTGAAACGCTCCAGTGTCCCTGTATCTGTGGTTACACTCAGTAAACAGAGGTGAGTTCTGTGACCTTCACGGCCAATCACAGTAATTTCTGTTGAGCACGTGAACACAATGGCAAATCAGTGCTGTTTAAGAACGTGCTCAACAGCACTTAAATGTTCGCAGGAAATGGACGTTTTAAAAATTTTTAGTACCAATTGGTATCGAATTTCAGTATCGTGACAACCCTACAATGTGCACATTCGCAATAGTCACATCGCAAGATCTGCAATGTTAAGTTATGATTCCGGTTGACCCGGAGAAACAGACACATGAGAATTGTGTAGTTATTGGAGAGTTTAACTATATTGAAGGAAATGTTTTTAGTTTACATGTGTTTTTAAGGCCTGACAGCGTTCAAAGTATTCAATTTACCATTCGTAACTTTAATAAAGAATAATTCTATTGAATTATTCAAACAGAAAAGATGTTTGCATGTTATTTTACTTTTAATTATATCAATTCTGAACCTGAATACTATTTGACTGCTCCGAAAACCCTAAAACACTGTTTATTTTACTTTTAGCTTTGCTTTGAGTTCGTTTTTTGACGTTTTTATGAATGATTCACTTCAATAAATTCTTTCTAGATAGCAGTTTTTAGGTCATCTGGTGAAATTGTTTATATACGTCTTATCATCTCATGAAATTGTCAATATTTATCACAGAAAAACATGTCAGATTTTTCCAATATGCTGCAGGCCTACTTCAGCCACTGTTTACCGTTCACAAGTCAGTGCTGATATTTAAATTAAACCAAAAATCAATATTTTAAATCTATTTCAAATCACATGTGTTTAAAATGGTTAAAAATTTTGGTCAATAAACTTTCAACTTTTTAAATAAGCAAAAGTCTTACAGGTTTGGAATATCACAGGGTTGAGAAAACATCCATTTTTATTTCCTACCTAAGGACCAGTTCAAGTTTTGGCACCTTTTATTCACACTTATGTCATTCCGAACCTGTGTGTCCATTACCTTTCATTGCATGGAAAAGGCCAAACTCATATTTCCAATTAAGAAAACATTGTTTTTTTTCTAACTGACAATTTCCTTTAAATAGTAATTGCAGCTTTCCATTCTTTTCTTGGAGTATAAATGTGAAAAACTTGACTCACCGGTCAAAAAAGGCAGCCAGGAGCCGCCGGAGCAACACTTTGTGGCGTGTGCCCGCACTAACGTGGCAGTTCATCAGCTGAGCACGTGAAATAAAAACACTGGTGCCTGTTACTAGCTCCAGTTTCTCAGCAGGGTCACCTTCTTCATACAGTTTAGGATGACAGCGGTTTCCGATCTGTGCAATGAGCTCAGTGGGAAGAGAAGCCAGATCTTGCCTCACTCGAACTCCTCTTCCTCTTGATTCAACGGTGAGGTGGTCTGGAAGTGATTCCACTCGTTCGTTAGCTGAATCAATAACACAAATGTCAAGATTTATTAAAAAATTATTATTATTAACTCTATGATTACAACAATCCTACGGATAAAGTTGTTCAGGCCTGATTCTTCAAGGTTTCTGCAGGTTTCACCAAGTTTAATTTAAGACCTTTAGGACCATTATGAAGGAAATTTTAGACTTCTTCAAGGCTAAATGTTAAGGATTTATTTTTTGAATATCCCAGTTGGAAAAGATTGTCACTTGCCCTATCAAAAAATACATTTAATAATACATTAATAATAATTTAATAATAATATATATAGGTCAGGTCAGTATCCTCAGCAGTAAATAAAGGGAGAACTTTTTAAAAAATGCTATTGTAAGAAGAAATTTAAACATCATAATGTTTACCATAGTAAATGCCATTTTTAAGTAAAGTTTTATTGAGATTGGGATTGTTGGTGATTGTATGAGTGTTTTAGGTAGCTATACATGAACGAAGAAAAACTATGACCTGTTAAAAAAAAGATTTAAGCCCTACAACACAATATTTCAGTAGATTTAAGATATAAGATTTAAGATATAATTTCCTACAAATTCACTACATACTAAATTTAGGTGACATTTCAAGCACTATTTTTAGCTAAATTAGCTTGCCGGATGGTCATCATAAGCCAATTTTTTTTGTGCAAATATTTCATAAATATTTAGAAAAAAGAAATATGACATTTTTATTTTTGAAATATAAATAATAATAATTTTGTTTAAAAAAATGTAAATTAAAAACTGTAGCCAATTGTAATTTATTAGGCAAATAACAAACTGGCCAGCACAACTTTCCTTAGCCAGAATTTAGCCATTTGAATAATACAAAATTAAAATAATAATAATATTATCATTAATAATAATAATCAAGAGCTTCACAATGTTTCTAGCCTCTCTTTTAAAAGGCACATTTGAAAGTTCATGGTTAACAATAGCCGAAATAGTATTCAAATTAATTTTAATATTGTCCGCTTTTAGTGCTTCACACTTTTTTTACTAGTCATGTTCAAGAAGGTAAGGTCCGACTAAGAATAAACGTTACTTGTCAAATGTTTTCTATAATTAAAAACAATACAGTAGTAAAAGATGACTTCTCTTACGTCAGATTGTGTGCTTTCTTGCACAACTGAATGTTGGATGAAAAACATTTGTCACAACACAACACAAGTCTTTTTCGATGGGTTAATTTTACTATTTATGATTGCATAGCAGTCAAAACAGGACAATTGAGCTCATAAATGGGACAAATTCTGGACCTGTCAGTGAGGATATCCTTCTTAGTGCATATCTCATTTATTTAATTTTGTTAAAAGCCACAAATATACATTTAAAAAGATCAAACCTACAATCTGCAAATGCGGTATTTTCTTTGAGGTCTCTATGATTACTTTACAATGATCCTACTGATGGAGTTCCTCAGTATTGGCCCAATTTCTCTACAGCAATTTCACTTGATACTAAAGTCTACTATCACCAATACAAGTACAGCACTCAGAAATTACATTTCATAAATAAAAATCAATTAAATTAAATTAGGGCTGGGCGATATGGCAAAAATGCGATAATTCTTCCAGATTTAAGAGTATTCCAACAACGACTGAAGCCACAAAAATTAGAGGGTCCATTATATAGTATAATCTATTTTCGGTGGCTGATTATTTTAGGCGATACAATTCTGTGTTTCTCTAATATCAACACTCTTCTAGATTCCTGTTGTTGAACATTTCCGTTGTGTGATTGGCTCTTAGATCAATATAGAGTAGAAATGTTCAAAGCTTATCATTAGCTGTGTTTCCGTCAAAAAATACGAATTAACTTTATGCGCAAAACTGGAAAATTGCACAAAAGACGTGTAAATAAAGTAGCGTTTCTATCCAACGAGTCAAAAAGAACAAAATCATCCCTTCCTGATTAACTGGCTCCAAATATCAACAGTAAAAAAAACTGAATTTGCTGCAGAAGGAGAAGCTGTGTCTTTTCTTTATTTAATAAATGACTTCAGAAGGCAATTTTGACACGCAGTGAGCGCGTGCTGGCAATTAATAATATAACACTTATACTAAAACAATTAAGGCATTTTAGAATGACCAAAGCAACATTTCAGATGTTTTACAATGTGCTCAGCCTGCTGGTTTGTCCATTTGCACATAATTGTATTATCACATGATCTCTTATAAAAAAAAATCACATGACTTTTTTTTTTTAATGCGCATACTGGAATTTGTTTGATAATGGTGTTTCCATCGTAGTTTACGTGCATCATTTCCTATCAAAAAAAAAAAAAAGGTTTTTTCAACTCAGTTATGCACACGTTATTTATGTGCATTTTCAAATCTTTTGCGCATCTTGCCGTTTCCAACAACCGTTTTTTTGTGCACATCCCAAATGCGCATAGAAATAGGTGGATGGAAACATAACTACTGTTATTGACATCAATTTTATTGTGATTCAATATAATAGTTTATCAGCCCAGCCCTAAATGAAATTGTATTTCATGTTTCCTTACCAGTTGCCCCTACATTCAGCATGCTGTACATAGTGTACATATTACAGATCTGTCTGTACTGTTCTTCTGTCGTTTCATCCGGGATTTCCTCCTCTTCATCATCATCATGGTAAGAGATTGGCGAGTCACTGGTGTACATGCTGGGAGTTCCTGGGCTGGTGCCTTCCGGCGTGCTACTGCTGTTGTTGTTATTATTGTTGTTGCTGTTGCTATTAGTTGTGCCACTTCCGCCCAATAAAGCGATGCTTTGAGGCTGTGCCCCGCCCACACTTCGTACCACTTCCTGCGAATAACGTGCTGCTTTTCTCACACCTCCACCTCCACTTCCTCCTGATCCTCCACCTCCTTCACGGTTGCCTCCTTCCCAAAGGCGCTTAGCAACTGGAGTGCAAACTACCGAATATGATGATGCTTCTTGAAGTGGCTGAGGGGCCTGTGGTAGCTGCTCCGTCTTAACTCTTGACACTAATGGAAGTGGTGTTTGGCAGGATGCAGGTCGAGCTGCTGTTGACCCACCCATACCTATAGAGCCAGTCCCAGTTTGGGTAACAGGACTTTGGGGTTCTGAAGGTGGCGCATCTTCTGTGTGAAGACCCTGCGAGTCACAACTTGGCGAGCTGACCTTTAGGAAGAACTCTGTACCTTTTTCCATAATTTGCTGAATCTGCAGGAATCCCGCTGTGTACATTAGGAGGAACTGATCGCCTAAATTCATGCTAAGTCGACCGGTGTAGCAGAAGGAAAGGATCTGCTGGAAGCTCTGAGGTTGGACCGCTGGCGGTAATTCCACCACAGAGCTCTTGCTTCCAGAGTTGAACAAATCTCGAAAATAGGAGCTGCTGGCAGCCAGCACTGCCCGGTGGGCTTTAAATGTGTGTCCCTTCACCACAACTGACACATCACAGTACAGTCCCTGAAGCCTCTGCTCATTAAGACACTCCAAGATATTGTTGCCAAAGTTGGGAATCGCCATCTGCAGCATCTGAGCCATATCGTAAAGCCCAGCACTACAGAGTCTGTGGAAGCAGAAAACACAAAACACTTCACCTCAATGGTAATGGTAGAATTATACCAATGTCCAGAGGGTAAAACTGTCTGACATCCACAACAACAGCATGTCATTATAATTTCAACACATTCCCCACCAACTGTGTTTAAGATATTCAAAAGACATGCCTCTCATTAAAATTCTAATATCATAAAGAAGTTTAATAACTTGTGAGGCAAAAAGTTGCTTTTAATTCTCAGCAGAACATAATCACTTCACAAAAAGAATCCAGTCTGAGTAAAGAGATAATGAGAATTACTCACAGCAGCTTATACATTGCAAAGTATATACAGTTGAAGTCAGAATTATTAGCCCCCCTGAATTATTACCCCCCCTGTTTATTTTTCCCCAATTCTGTTTGATGGAGAGATTTCCTTGTTCTCGCGCATGATTTTCTGCTTATTTCTAAGAATAAAATATATATCAATTAGTCCCAGACTTAAATGACTGACATGAAACTCTTTTAGAAGCTGAATAAAATCACACCAATTCTCAATGGACACAATGCTTTAGGTCATTCTTCACCTTCGGGAAGTTTTGCCTGCTCGAATTATCCATGAGATAAAAAACTACAAAATATCTACAGTTGAAGTCAGAGTTATTAGCCCCCCTGAATGATTAGCCCCCTGAAATATTAGCCTCCTTGTTTATTTTTTCCCCAATTTTTGTTTAACGGAGAGCAGATTTTTTTCAACATTTTTGACATAATAGTGTTAATAACTCATTTCTAAAAACTGATTTATTTTATCTTTGCCATGATGACAGTAAATAATATTTGACTAGATATTTTTCAAGACACTTCTATACAGCTTTAAGTGACATTTAAAGGCTTAACTAGGTTAATAAGGTTAACTAGGCAGGTTAGGGTAATTAGGCAAGTTATTGTATAACGATGGTTTGTTCTGTAGACTATCAGAAAAAATATATATATAGCTTAAAGGGGCTAATCATTTTGACCTTAAAATGTCTTTTAAAAATGTAATAACTGCTTTTATTTTAGCCAAAATAAAGCAAGTAAAATTTTCTCCAGAAGAACAAACATTATCAGACATACTGGGAAATTTACCTTGCTTTGTTAATATGGCAAAAATGCAATCTCGATAATTCGTGGAGCCATAACGATATATATTTCGATATGAGTTGTTAATGTTTCCACTTTTAAAAGAGTATCCCATGGATCATGGATAATTCTGGCGGGAAGGTAAAACGAACGAATGCGTATTAGCGTATTAACAATACTGGGTGATGCAGCATGACCTATTTTTGGATAATGATTTTCAAAAATTTGGTGAATGAAATTCTGGTTGGAATGAACTGCCAACTTATCCAGCAAGTTTTTACGCAGCGGATGCCCTTCCAGCAGCAACCCATCTCTGGGAAACATCCACACACACATTCACACACACTCTCATCCACTACGGACAATTTAGACACACTCTCATCCGCTACGGACAATTTAGCCTACCCAATTCACCTGTACCGCATGCCGGGGAAACCGGAGCACCCAAAGGAAACCCACACGAAGGCAGGGAGAACATGCAAACTCCACACAGAAACGCCAACTGAGCCGAGGTTCGAACCTGCGAAGCAGCGACCTTCTTGCTGTGAGGCGACAGCACTACTTACTGCGCCACTGCGTCGCCAGAGCATCTGAGCGACGAGGATGGAATTCGAACTCCCGCGTGCAGAGCACAATGGATTAGCAGTCTATCGCCTTAACCACTCAGCCACCTCGTCACTAAATATATATATATATATATATATATATATACATATATATATATATATATATATATATATACATATACATATATATATATATATATATATATATATATATATATATATATATATATATATATATATATATATATATATATATATATATATATATATATATATATATATATATATATATATTTAAAAAAAAAAACAATACTCGCACAACTCACTAATTATATTTTCAGAACATTGAGTATATTTTCTTGATTTATTGAATTATTTAATATTAGCTGCAAAAAGGTTTAGCAAGTATTTGATGGATCCATCTTATGCTCACAAAGGCTGGATGTATTTAAATATTTAAAATAGTAATATTGTGAAATAAGAAGGTCGTTATCATTCAATTCATTCATTCATTTTCCTTTGGCTTAGTCGCTAGTTTATCCGAGGTCACCACAGCGGAATAAACCGCCAATCCCAGCATATGTTTTACACAGCAGATGCCCTTCTAGCTGCAACCCAGTACAAGGAAACCCTCATACACTACGGACAATTTACTTAATCCAATTTACTTATACCGCATGTCTTTGGACTGTAGGGGAAACCGAAGCACCCAGAGGAAACCCACGTGAACACGGGGAGAACATGCAAATTACACAGAAATGCCAACTAGCCTAGGCGGGACTTGAACCAGCGACTTTCTTGCTGTAGGACTGGACTCACTGAGCCACCTTGGCGCATATAATGGTGCCTATTTACTATCAATTTAATTTTTAAGGCAATGCCAAATCCTCCTAATATTCTTTCTTTGTGTAATACAAGCATTTTAAAATTTGATAACAATATCTCTTAGTTTTTTGTTCTAATAGTGTTTTTTTTTTTAAATGCGAAACATTTCTTTTAGGATTTTTTGATGAACAAAGTTCAAAAGAACACTTTATTTAAAATACAAATCTGTAAATTGTAATATTAAATATAATAGAATGTCATTTTCGATCATTTTTATTCATCATTGCAGAATAAACCAGTAATCAAGTACAGTACAGATCATTTCTAGGTATGTCATTTTCACATGAAAAGTTCTATTGCTCTCATACACAATCTATGTGACCCCTAAAGATTGAAAAGAGGAATCACATACTTGCAGTATATAATCTATTCTTATGAAACTATTAAGAAACAGAGCTCTTCTCTGTTCCAACTCCAAGGTCAGTGCGTGTAGTCACACAAACAACATCCCATGACTGTCAAGTCCATAACATAGAAACAAAAAATGGATGCAATCTCCACAGGACACCAGACAATGAACAAAAGCAATAAATGTGGATACACATTCTTAATATTACTGAAGATTAAAGCACATGCTTAGGGTCATCCAAAGGTTATCTGTGGATCATAAACCATTTTTAATCCACAGTCAGCTGTTTTATGAGCATTCAGACACTCTGAATAAAAACGTTCATACTTTGCTCTTAAAACCAACGACTGAAGTAAACAATACTATATATCTCCATATATCTCTTGCATCTATGAAGAGCCAGCAGTAGAGTGTGTAATGCGATGTAATCAGGTTATTTTAGCATCATGACCATGTATGTAAAGAGGCCTGTGAAGGAGTAATTAAGTTACTCAATATCAAGTTATTCAGAATTGAGTTATTCTGCTTTTATGAACCCATGTTTCCGGAGTAAAATAAATACATGTATAGAGGGAGAAAGTACTTTTAAACACTCATGTGAGGGTACATTTCGTTGTACATTTCAAATGACAAATCCACTAGAGGGCGATGTCTACTTTGTGAATCTGAAATATGATACTTGGAAGTAGGGATGGTTGATAGGCGATGCTATTGTCAATCGCCGATGGCCGATAGACACCATGATCCTGAACCGGCATTGTGATCCTCTGCACCACCTCTGTCGCAACAGTAACCCGCTCGTGAAAAATATACACTTAGGCCCTGTTTACACTAATATGTCTTAGTTTTAAAATGGCTTAACGACTCTTCGGCCTTTTGAATGTATCAGGTAACGTGCCACAGCGTCAGTGCACTGCTTCAATCTTTGGTTTCACGCTTGTAATTTAAGCGAAATCCTCAGATACTGTTGTTTGTCAATGCCAATATAACAACACAGATCACTCTGCCTATTTATGCCAGAGTCCTGCGGAAAAAGTAATTTGAGTGTAACTTTATTTATTTATGATTTGGTTATAGGTAAAACAAAGACCATGTGTGTCAGGTAGTTGAAGTGGTAGGCTACAAATTATTAATTTGTTATGATTTCATTAATTCTTCATAATTAATTAATTCACTGACACCTACAATGATGATGCCATCGTCCATTGCAATGTTTCAGATTAGACATCGTACGATGCCAAATTGGTCCACATCGCCCTACTTACAAGGGTTGTTCAATTATAGGAAAAACCATAACTCCTATTATTTAGGTCATAATTTTATTGACGATCAATTAAAACGATCATAAGTGGGCCAAATAACTGTCTGTGTATATATATATATATATATATATATATATATATATATATATATATATATATATATATATATATATATATATATATATATATATATATATATATATACATACATACATACATACATACATACATACATACATACATACATACATACATACATACACACACACACACACACATACATACATACATATATATATATATTTTTTTTTATTATTATTTTTTTTTCTCCAAATAAATATCGCTCTAGTGGTTTTGTGGTATTTTGAGTTGTGCACAAAAAATATCATTAGTGTGAAAAGGAACATAAGCAGTCCTCGTCATACTGCCCTGTAGTGCCGTTTTTAGGTAAAATGAGGTTTATTTTTGCAGTTTCGCTAACATGTAGGCTCAAGCATATATTTACATTAAGCGTGTGTTGCGATAAATACATGATACACAGGAAGCGGTTCAATGAATATTCTTTAATAATTAATTAGGGCGCAATGGGTCAGCTAGTGTTTATATGAGACTGATTTATGTGTGTGTGTCGGCTACTAAATGGCCAACACTTTTCCAACATAAGTGCTATTACATTAATGCAGACATATATTGTTTCTTTGTGTTCAGTTATTCTGCTAATATACAGTTGAAGTCAGGAATATTAGCCCCCTGAATTATTAGCAGCCCTGTTTATTTTTTCCCAGAATTTCTGTTTAACATAAAGCAGATTTTTTTCAACACATTTCTAAACATAATAGTTTTAATAACTCATTTATTTTATATTTGTCGTGATGACAGTAAATAATATTTTACTAGATATTTTCAAGACACTTCTATACAGCTTAAAGTGACATTTAAAGGCTTAACTAGGTTAATTAGGTTGACTATGCAGGTTAGGGTAATTAGGCAAATAATTGTATAACGATAGTTTGTTCTGCAGACTATCGAAAGAAAAGTTAGCAAAAAGGGGTTAATAATTTTGACCTTAAATGGTTTTTAAAAAAATAAAAACTGCTTTTAATCTAGTCGAAATAAAACAAACAAGACTTTCTCCAGAAGAAAAAATATTATAGGAAATACTGTGAAAATTTCCTTGCTCTGTTAAACATCGTTTGGGAAATATATATATAAAAAAAGAATAAAAAATTAAAAGGCTAATAAGTTTGACTTCAACTTTGCTGAAGGCTTTTTAACACTTTTGACTCAGAATCTGGAAAAGTGTGTTGATCATCATCATCATCTTATTATTATTGAGAAATAAAAAAGCACTGAAAGTACCTTACAGTCAGAAATCCCCTAGTAAGGGTTACTGAGTAATTTCACTCCGACTTCTTCCTTTGTGCCTCTGTACAAAGGTTAAATCAGGAGGTCAGCCTTTCTTTCATATAAATCTGTGATATACATTTCAAAGATTTGTCTGACTAATCAGTGAATTAACATCCCCAAAAATGTGCGCCATTTAATTTTTAAAACATTTATAAGAACTTTTATTATGCACGTAACTCTTGAATGTAAGTCTACTTAAATAATTTAATCTCAATTATATATGCCAAAGACTGTTTGATTGATTCAGCACCTATTCATGTAAAATCTTTTATTTGTAAAAAAAAAAGTTTTATTTTTATACAAATAAAATCAGCATTTCCAGTCTCCACTAAAGTCATTTTAATATATCAACAAACGATTATTAATCTAAATTTATACTGTATGTTATAAAATATCAATATGACAAATAATATAAAATTTAATATGACTAATAAATGGGACAAATTCTAATGCACAGATTTTTTTTCAATAATAATAATAATAATAATAATAATAAGCAAAAAAAATCAAATATCAATCAAAATCAAATCAAATTTCCCTTCACAAAGGTTTACTGAAGTAAAACCCTGATAACTAATAGTCACCATAACACTACAATCTTATTATCTTATCAATCCTTATTAAGCTGTTTTACAAACTAAATATTAGAATTAAGAGTAACTAATATTGCAATTTGAAAATACAGTATATTAGCCAATAATAGTTTCGGATTGAACCATCCTTTAAATGGGCTAAAGCTAAGAGCTATTAGCAATCACATTTTAAGAAGCGGATGTTAGTTCTTTTAACATTTAACCTGAGAGTAAACCAGTACTTTAAACTGTCGATCATTGATAAATTGAGGAGCAATGCTGCGAAAGTCTCGTTTAATAACCCAGACTAGTTGTTTTCTTTCCCTCGCACATCTCTATGCGATCTCCCAAAGGGACAATAAGAACGGTGTAATTAAATTCACAACGGCAATAAATCAGAAATAATTTGCAAGCTCACTGCGAGAGTTGGGCGCCGGTGTTTCTGATGTGTGCGCCGCGGCCGGGCTGCGGTAGCTACCCGGGGAGAGTGAGTGCCCGCACCGCTGCCCAGCTGGACACGAGCTCCGGGTTGGCACGGGCCCCGGGGGGCAAAAAACAAGAAATAAGACCCTGATATCCTGGTTTCGATTCTTGATGCGGCAACCAAAAAAAGCTAAAAGCTGCTCAGCCCTCAAAAATCCTGTCACCAAAATAGTGTGATAGATGAATTATTGAGAAGCCCACATCCGCTTCTCTCGCCCCCTCGGTGCCAGTGCAATGCTATGCAGTGTCGAGCTGAGTTACAGTCCTGCACACACCAGGATATCTATACCCAAAAACGTTCAGATTCACCCAGCAACATCCATATGCATGCATTACCATTAGTATTCCTCCATATCGCATGCAAATCAGCTGCTTAAGTAGTTGCATGCAAGCAAGCATACCAATCATTGGGTTTCACATTAAATATTCTGTGGTTAAATTCTACTCCATTTTGGAGGAAGAGGAAGGGGGGCTCGGCTCCATCTTTTCCCGACATCAACAGGTCATCCCGGGACAAATGCAGCAACTGGGGGGCGAGTCAGACTGATCAGACAAGACACCATTAACCACTTGACGTCTGAAATGATGCACACAATTGCTCTCCAGCAACATACATCCTCAAATCGTCCGCGAACACGTGCTGGCACCGCAAGCGATGGCATGCATGGCTAAAAAGTTGCAGATTTTATATGGATGTATTTGATGCACCATAAATCAAGCTCTCGGCAGCGAGTCATTGAAGTGGTTAAAGTTTTGCGAGCCCATCCCCCCATCCAGAGCAATCGCACACCTTCACAAAACAATACCCCTATGCAAAAAGAACTATATTTTTCAATTACTCCCAGTCACAACAATAACAAATGCAACCCCCTGTTTAACCCACGTGTTTGCCCTGTGACCCCAAGTGCCATGGACCCCAAGTGCGCGCATAAAACAAAACACTCACCCCCTCGCTTGCAATCTGCTGGAAAGTGTTTCAATGGAGGAGTCCGACTCTTTCTCTCTACGGGCAGCCATTCATCGTGAATGCACAGGCAAGACGCCCGAGCGCAGAATTATCGAGGGGTGCATCGTTTTGTCACCCCCGGCTGGAGCGCAGAGTCACCGATCACACGAGCAAAAGCAGTCCGACAGCCGACGCATTCAGCCGGCTGTGTATAGGGTTGTGCGTGCGGCAGTGCGGGGAAAGTGCGCCGTGCGGAGCGTCTAGACTCAGGTGAAGCCCCAGAGGGTTGTGGGTGCTACGCGCTCTGCATGCCAACTCAACTCTGCATGGCGCACTGGAGGACGAGCGCTGCTGCTAAACGCCTCCAAAATATGTCCATCACGTCGCTCTAATGGGGTCAAATTATATGGCGGATGGGCAATTAGTGTTTATGGAGCGTGACTTGATTAGATTATTAGTTCGAATGTGCCATTTGCACACAACGAGCATCTTGTGCCATATATGTATGCTGCACCGAGAAGGTGTTCTTCTTTACGCCTAACGTTAAGTTAATGTTGTTAGTGTGTGTATGTTATGAATGTCAAATTAGAAGTGCACCAGAAATCAATGAAGAGTTATAACATGGTATAACGTTATTTTTATTCAAATAAATGTTGATTCCTTTTTTAATCTCTCTTTACATCAGTATGCATAATTAATATAACACACGTCATTGGGAATTATATTAATAAATTGTATTGTATTAAAATGCAACATATAACATGTATTAGATTCTATTGTATTGGGGGGTATATTATAACCTGATTATAACATTCATTCATTCATTCATTCATTCATTTTCTTTCCGGCTTAGTCCGTCCCTTTATTAATCAGGGGTCGCCACAGCGGAATGAACCGCCAACTTCTCTAGCACATGTTTTACGCAGCGGATGCCAGCCGTACCACAACACTGGAAAACTCAATATAACATATAATGTTTTATAATAATAATAATATTTAAATTAAATATACATTAAAATAACTGCTATTCACCCTAATGGATGCCATACCATTCCACAGTTGTTAATAATGATATGATGAAATTAATGTAATGCGATTCAATAATATAACAGTAAAAAGGTAATTAAACAGTTTATGTAAAATAAACAAGTCTTAAATTATGAATTTATTAGTCACCATTGATCATCAAATGAAGATATTGCTAACAATATTGCAAAAACGTGAACTTTCACAGATGTGAAATAAAATAAATAATAATAACAGCAATTTATTATTATTATTATTATTATTATTATTATTATTATTATTATTATTATTATTATTATTATTATTATTAGTTTCCCATTACTGGGTTTTGGCTGGAAGGGCATCCCCTACGTAAAACCTATGCTGGGATATTTAGCGGTTCATTCCGTTGTGGCTGCCCCTGATGAATAAGGACTAAGCCAAACGAAAATAAATAAATGAATTATTATTGTTAATATTGTTAATATTTTTATTATTATTATTATTATTATTATTTACTAAAATATATTTTTAGAAGTACGGATTATTAAAGGGGTAAGTAATTAGGCATTTATCAAAATCACAATTATATATATTTATTTAAATAATTTCAGGAAAAACAGGCCTATTTAAGTTAATAAATCATAAGTATAATATAACATTCTGACTTTACTAGTAAAACTCTATTTTATTTATTTAAAAAATGGTTGCGTATAGAAGAGTTCCTAAATGACCCTGCTTTGTACTCGATGCCCTTATTTTTTTCAGTATGCAGGTTTCTATAGGAATGTGCGCGTGCGCAGTGCTTAGCGTCTTTGTTAGGCGTTTAGCACTGCAAGGCTTCCGTAGTTCACATGTAGCATGCGCCACACGTGAATTCTGACTGAAAACATCCACGCTAACAATTGACAAGTCTCTGTGTTAGTGAACATTTAGCGATCTGGTTTGATTTTGTTCATAGATGATTTGCCATGGCATAACTAAAGTATCTTCGTGGAAAGATAATCTTCGGTAAGTTGCAAGACGAGCTACATTGTAAAACTAACGTTAGCCTGGCTAGTTTTTCAGGGTTAAATGTGCATGAAATTAAACATAAGAATAAGCGTAGTTTATCTTAAATGTATAACTCAGGATTATGTAAAGACTGTAAATATGTCAATTTTAAATAATAATAATAACATAAAATCCTTTGAGGGTTTATTCATTGCATTTACAGTTAAAGTTTGTGCTCTATATTTTTTTAGTGTCATTAGTATTGTTTAATATTTATTAATATTTATATGTATTGTTTAATAGTTATTTCAGCTCTTATTTAAATATTTTTAGTTTTCTTTTTTTAAGTTTGGTTAGTAGGAATTATTAATTTTATTTGCAATTATTAATGAGTAATTTGTCTGTTTGCTTTTGCCCTATACTATGAATAAATCTCTATTATTAATAATTTTAGCACTTTATTATACGTATTTGTTGTGTTGCTACACCTGTTTTTGTTCGCACTCGTTAACTGACATCTATTGTTTTTCTGTCATCAGGCTTTTTTGTGGCAGATGTTAGCATGTACTGTTCTTCAGCTATCCTTAAAGTGTTCTGGTTTGTCATCAGCATTTCCTAAGAACAGATCCTTGCTCCAGATCCTCCCTACAGGACTCACCTGTGTCTTCACAAAATTCAGGACAATGGACAGCAATAAACAATCTCAAGACTCCAGCAGTATCACCACAGATGAACCAATGCAAGACAAAAACATCCAGCACCCATCCAGCTCCACAGAAAGCAATCAGACACCATCCACAGATCCTGGGCTTTTACCGGGAGAGACAGTGGTCAGGGAGGGAAAGGCTGCTATTTTATTCCCAAATGCTAATGAGGTTTTTTACAACCCTGTTCAAGAGTTCAACCGAGATTTAACGTGAGTGTTTTTTTTATCCCACTATTAAACTTCTTTTAAACTTCTTTAAAGATACTATCTAATAAATTTTCTTAATTACTTTAAGTATAATATGTAAGGGTGCTTTCACACCTACACTTTTGTTTCGGAACGTATCTCGTTTGCCCAGTTAGCGCGGTTCGTTTGGCATATGTGAACAGGGCAATCGCGCTCTGTTCCGCGCCAAAGTAATCGCTCCGAGATCGCTTGAATGAGGTGGTCTCTGCTCGATTGAAACGAACCCTGGAGCGGTTCGATTGCAGTGAGAAAGCGATCCGATCCGAGCGCGGTTATATCACAGTGTTTTATGGATATGTAATAGGCTTACGGCTATATGAAGAGAGAATTAGGAGTAAGGCGGGAAGTTTCGCGAGTCTCCGGATGCCCGCAAACGAGTGATGATCTCCCGGTAATCTCGTGTCTCTCTCCCAGTCCTCAAATAGGCATCGTCGCGCACCCTTCTCACCCCTCCCCACCGTGTCTCTCCTCAGACACGTCACGCGCGCGCACCCTGTCAATCACCACCAAACCACCACCTCTCCTGACAGCTGAGCGGGACGCTGCAAAATAAACCCTGACACTCTGACCAATGTGAGGAGAGTTTACTCGCACGTGACTTGTTTTAGCTCTTTTGGTCCGATTAGAAACTTTGCAGTGTGAAAGCGAACCGCTCCAAGAGCAAAGAGCAACAATGTAACAATTTTAATCTCTGTTTCGGAACAACTGAATCGATTCACAGGTGTGAAAGCACCCTAAAATACGTTTTTATAACTGTTTGTTTATTTATTTATTTTGATAGTACGTTAAAGGGATAGTTCACCCAGAAATGAAAATTGTCATCATTTTGTCACACTTGTTCAAAAGCTGTTTGAGTTTTTTTCTTCTCTTGAACGCTGAAGAAGATATTTGGAAGAATGCTGGTTAATGACACCCATTAACATCCATAGGAATTTTATTGCCCTACCTGGGTATTTGACGAGTGCCAGCAACCAGCATTCTTCCGAATATCTTCTTTTGTGTTCAACAGATTAAAGAAACTCAAACAGGTTGAAAACCACATGACTGAGAATAAAGTGGTAATAAATTAGGTAATTTTCAATTTTGGGTAAACTATTTCTTTAAGAAATTGTTATTTTATGTATTATTTCCTTTTGTAGTATTTATTAATGTTTTATTTTGTCTTATTTTCATATTTGTAGTTTTTAATGTGCTTTTGTTGTCTTTCTAAGTTTTTTGTTTACAATATTATTTAACTGTTATTTTTATAGTTTTGATTTTTCGATTTCATATATATTTAAAAAAATCTCATGTATATATATATGTATGTGTATATATATATGTATATATATATATGTATGTATGTATGTATGTATGTATGTATGTATATATATATATATATATATATATATATATATATATATATATATATATATATATATATATATGTAATGGGTATATATATGAGTTTCCACGGGGTCTTAAAAAGTATTAAAAGTTGAAAAATCAATTATGAGACAATTAAGACCCTTAAAGGGTACAAAAAAAACTCTTAATTGTGTTATATATATAATCAGGGTTTATGCATATATTTATATTTTATATTTTCATACATGTTTTAGTAAATTTGTCATGTGCTTTTGAAATTTTTACCACTTTTATAATTTCTCAGTAACTTTATTTTTATACATTTAAAGCATTTATATTTTATGTTATGCTCAATGCTGGGCAAAGATTAATCACAATCGATCACATACAAAATAAAAGTTTGTGCTGACACAATATATATTTTTATATATATATATATATATATATATATATATATATATATATATATATATATATATATATATACACGCACACACACAGACAGACACACACACACAAATATATATATATGTTTGTGCTGTGTGTCTAAACAAACTTTTATTTTGGAAATGATTAATCACTATTTATTTTTGCCCGGCACTAGTTATGTTAATATTTTGTTTTTTGAATTTGATTTTTGAATTCAGTTGTGCTGTGATCACTGAGTTTGCTCGGGATCAGCTGGCTCAGAGGGGTGTCCGTATCCTGGTTCCGGGTGAGAAGGACAGAGTCGTGGTTCAGCTCTCAGAGGATAAGAACGGGGCGGGGGATCAAGAGGCACCAGAGCAGCCCGAACAAGAGCATCCAAAGGAAGAAGAAGCTGCTGAGAAAGAGTACATCACTGCAACTGTAGGAGAAAGATGTGAGGTACACTGATCAGGGTTCTTCTATTCTTAAATCTTCATTTATTCTGACTTTAAAAGACCTTCTGTTTTTGTGGTGTTTTGATGCTAGAAAATAGACATTATTGTTAGACACAAGAAAGCCAAGATCACCGAGTCTTTTATGCAGTTTTTTTCTCAGTTTTCCTCTTTAATTTGTATCTTTTTTCACATTTTGATATTTTTTAAACTATTAAACAATGCTTTGATTATTTTCGTAGTTAGTATGTTGCATAATAATTAATAAACAAAACTTATATAATATAAACTATATATATATATATATATATATATATAATAAGCATAAATAGTCCATAGTTTAATTTATGTACTAATAATATATCTAATAACATATTTAATTATATTTTTTACATTTTAGAATTTACTATGTTTTACCACTTTGGTAGCAAGATTTACCACATTGCTGACATTCTTTTAGCATATTGCTTACATTTCCCAGGCTAATCAACTAAGGAATTGCTTGTAACATGGCTAGATTAGAACGTTCCATGAAAAAGAAGCATTAAATGAGTCTAAAGGGCTTCTGTAAGTTTGAATTATTGACAGTTGGAGTAACTAATTAGTAAATAAAATGAACTGTTAAATTTTTTTAGATTCATATTGAATTAATAATTTATTTAGTCCATATTTTAAAAATAATAAATTAAATTTGTTTTTAAAATGTAGAATAAATTAATATTTAATACATTTTTTATAATAGATTTTTGATGTGCATTAATTTATTACAGGATCAGTTCTTTTACTTTCTCTCTGTTTTTCTGTATGGTATTGTGTCGTTTTTATTATTGTTCCGGTTAGTTATGCTTTCCCCTCTTCTGTGACTGAATAAATGAGACTTTTGCTAAAGCATCTGCCGGATGGATGAATGAATGAAATAAAGTGATTGGTTTGTGTCTTCAGCAAGGTCTGCGTGTGCTGGAGGGTCTGGCAGCCTCAGGTCTGCGTTCTGTACGTTTTGCTCTGGAAGTTCCTGGCCTGAAGAGCATCACTGCTAATGATTACTCTGCTAAAGCTGCTGCTCTGATCGCCCGCAATGCACAACACAACAATGTGACCCACATCCTGCAGGCCAGCCAACGAGATGCCAGGTCTGAGCGCCAACTACTATATTTTGCTTGGGTTATTTCAGTGTGGTTTCAGTTGTTTTTATAAATAATTAAAATTAAATGTGGTTTAATTTGAGCTTTATTAAATATGTTATGTGCTTAGGTCATTTTTTTTTATTTGGTTTTATTAGCTCTATTTTAGTTTAGTCGTTCATAGTTTTTGCTTTTTAAATAAATTATCATATTTGATGTTTTCAGTTTTTGTCTGCATTTTTGTTTTATTTTATTCTAATCTTATTTTATTTTATTTTGGTAATTTAGTTTTAATTAGTTCTTATATCATGTGCTTTTTATTTTTACTTTTTAATATTATAAACTTTTTCATTTTTCTTTATTTTATATTTTAATTCAAAGCTTTAGTTAATCTGTTTTGTGCTTTTGTCATTTTTGTGAGTTGTATGTGTGTATATACTTATTTTAAACACTTTTTTAATTTGATATCAAATTAACAAATATACTAAAGCTTTAACTTGAAAAGAAAGATTATATCTATATAGGTACTCGCTGATCTAGCCAATCTCATGAACCATCTCAAAGGTGTTTTGTTGAAGATGAGCAAAATGTTTGAATGACCTTGCATGTATTTATGGCTTTTTTACATACACTGTAAAACTCAACAGTCAACTTTATTAAATTAAATGAGTTTATCTAACTCAAAATTGACTGAAAGTTAATTCTACTCATTTGAAAAGAGTTTTGAAATTGTTATGGTAATGAGTTAATTAAATGCCTTATTGCATCAGCTTAAATGAGGTAAGTTCACAGTACTCGTATAGATTAGTTTTGTAACTCAAACGGTTTGTTGCAATCAGTTTCCTCAAATGGTTTGAGTTCTCTTCATGTATCGGGTTTCACTGTGCTCAAATTGCTTTATTTACTTAAATTGATTAAGTTCACAGCACTCATTAGGATTCGTTTTTGAACTTAAATGGTTTGTTGCAATCGGTTTCCTGAAATGATTACCTTACCTTAACTTATCAGGTTTTACAGTGTATAAGAACTGAAAATTCTGGGTTCTTACAATATTGTAAGTTCACCTAAACCTGACTGGAAATATTAGATACATTAAATCATATAAATTTAATAACATAACCTCTTGTAATTTACTTATTGCGATGAACAGTAATTTATATGCCTATTTCCTTTTAGTAAAGAAGTATTAGATTCATAACTTTGCATTTTAACTTGTGAATTAAATATGCGCTCTAAACTTTTTTGAGTGGGACATGTTAAATTATTCTTCTGTCAAATTTTCCAAATTGCATTGTCAGTAATTTTTTTTTCGCCTTATTTTTAGATCTGTTATATCTATATTATATGTATAACTCAAGGGTACATATTGGTATCTAAAAAGTACAAAAGTGCTCCTCTTAATTTATAGGTACTAATATATACTTCTGAGGTACCAACATGGACCCTTCAAGTACAAATGTGTACCTTTTGAAAAGGTACCACACCAGTGACAGCTCTAGTACCTTTATTTGTAAACAGAGATCTCCACTTAAGTATCATAGAGAGAATATGTGCTTTATGCATTATAAAGCTTGAAGCATCAGACTCAGTACTCTATATCGCCTGATCACCTTGACAAGGAATCGGTTATCTCTATCGGCTGCAAAAATCCCGATCGGAGCATCCCTATTTGTTAATTTTATGTTTTAAGCTCTTAATTTGCTCTTATTGTTGTATTATTCGATTTTATATTATTTGAACAACTTTTATTCCTACATATCTTATTACAGTAGTAGTAATTTGATCACTTCAGCAGATTTATTTCTAATAAAATGTTTCAGAAAGTCATGATTCTCACTCATTAAATAATTACTTTCTATACCTTTGTTTTACATTCTTAGGGGATTCAAAACAGACATTTCTGCACAATGTCTTCCTCAGTGCGTGACAACAATCCTCTCACTCCACCCTTATATCCCACAGTCAATCACATTACATCATCAGTTAGACCACCACTCAATAGTTAAAAACGTCTCATTTTCATTTCAAAATACTGTAATCAACCACAAAATAAATATTTCCTTCACCTTTAAAAGCATTAATTCCATTACACAGGAAAATAACATATCAGTTATCGTTATTCACTTATTTATGTCTGTGTCAATGCAATGAAACTCAGACAGTCCAAAACATTAAAATACATTTTCATCTCATTATTTGTATCATTACATATTCAAAATCCACGATTGACAATATAATAGATAAACAACAAACCATTTAAGAAACACAGAAAGGTCCAATTCCACATTCATTCCACTTGGTGTAAGTGATTTTGTAATAATCTTTTTTTTTTTTTAAGGTTATCAAAAAGATTGTACAATGTGCTTTTACAGACATAGTCAAATGCAAGTTTTACAAAAAAATGTGCAATCAGTTGTAGAAATTATAGTAATCCTTAAAAATAAGCCATTAGATAGATAGAGGGAAGGGAGAAAAAAAAGGTGAAAAATAACACACCATCTATAAGTATTAATACTGGCGACCAATTAGTCACCTAGTCTCTGGTAAGGCACATAAAACTATATATTTTCCTTTATCACAACACATTCCTATAATATAGACATGTCATTTAAAAAAAGAGCATTAAAACAGAACAAAAGAAAATAAAAAAACTACAACAAAAGACTATTCCCCAAGCCTCTGACAACCCTCTTCCACAAAAAAACCTAACTGACACTCGGTTTAATAATCTTTTATTCAGATTACCTCCTCTATGTCAGTGGTTCTCAAAGTGGGGGTCGCGACACAATGAGGGGGGTCGCTCGGTGATTTCTAAAAATCTCATATATGTTATTAGTCTATTAGAATTTTATCAATTATTATATTTTAATATCAATTATTATATTTTATTTGTGACCCCTGGGTTAACTATTCTAGATTAACATCACAACAATAGCGTTAGTTGCAGTTGCATTGATTTTGCAGTACAATATTAGACTTTACCACCTTTATGGCACTCACATACATTAAAAATAAAGGCCACGACTGAACAAGAAGGATGATCTCCAAGTGGCTCCAAGTCTCCAAAATTAAACCAAGTCTTGTGCTGTCAACATTGCACTCACCATTCTCATTAAGTGAGATTAATATTAAATTAAACAAATGAATAATGATTATAAAAAAATATATGGTTGTAAGATTGTTGCACTTTTTTTGAGTTGCCAATATGCTTATGTTTATATAATCCTACTGGTGTGTGTGCGCCATTGTGTGCAATATTTGTATGCTTATAACCACCTCCAAGCATAGTGGGGGTCGGAGTCACTGGAGTTGTTATTTTAGGGGTCGCAGGCTGAAAAGGTTAGGAAACCCTGCTCTATGTGACTCAAATACTTCCTCAACTCATATACATTCCTTGTTTAAGGTCATGTCTGAAATCTATAAAATGTCTTGCCCCTGCTGAAGCTATAGTAGGTCGTCATATACTTGATTTATGTCCGCAACTGTAACTGATGTGATGACGTCCTTATATATGTAATGTTTCAAATAGTTGAATTTTATTACCTAATATAATATACTTTATTTGTTTTATTAATATTATTGTTTTATTTATTTCAGCCTCATTTTATTTAGCAAAAACTACCAATAACACATAACAGCTAGCAGTAACCAACATGTTAAATCTCCATATGTCCAGTATGGTGATGTACGAGGCAAGAGGGAGGAAGGAGCGCTATGATGTCATCGATTTGGACCCCTATGGCAGCCCGTCTCCATTTCTGGACTCTGCCGTGCAGGCTGTCAGTGAAGGGGGTCAGTCTAATGCTCCATCACTTTTCTCACATTAACTTCTAGCTTCTCTAGTACACAATTTTTTTTTTGTCATCAGGGCTGCTGTGCATCACCTGTACAGACATGGCAGTCATGGCTGGAAACAGCGGAGAAACCTGCTATAGCAAATACGGCTCGGTGTCCATCAAGTCCAAATATTGCCATGAGATGGTAAGTTTGGCCCGTCGCCTTGTCATTGTGTTTGTTTGTATGCAAGTTGATGAGATATCATATTCATATTTTATTTTATAAAAATAATACTGTGAGCTTAACTGAGCCTTAACAGTGACATCTTTATTAAATTGAGCTGAATTAGTCTCAAATTAACTAGAGCTACAGTACACCAGCACTCTTCTTCACTCTCCTGTCTGCCTGAATTGCTGGAATATTCCACAGTTTTAAATATTATGACATGTTCTCTCTTTTCTTCATCTATGTTAAGCTGCTTTGACACAATCAACATTGTTAAAAGCTCTGTAGAATTAACAGTGAAATTTAATTGCGTATTTTTCTTTTCCAGGCTCTGCGTATAATCCTGCACAGTTTAGATCAGCGTGCAGCCGTGTATCAGAGATATATCGAACCTCTGCTGAGCGTCAGTGTGGATTTCTACATTCGTGTGTTCGTCAGGGTCAAAACAGGCCAGGTTGTCGTCAAAAACTCTGCAAGGTAACACACAGTTTACTTTATCTAAGTAGAAAGAATCAAACTCTGGGTTTTTATGGGTGCAGTAAATCTTGAAAATTCTTCATTTTTAACTAATCAAAGTAAAAAAAAAAGCTTTAAAATAGCTTAGATTGTAGATAAAGTGCTTGAAAGTGTAATAAATTAGGTTTTCATAATAATTTATTTTACTAAATAGGTAATCATAATTAACTGTTTAATTTTTGCTTTTGCATAAAATTAAGACTCTGGAGTCTGTGCCTGTAGCATGATTTGGCGCTTTTTTTATCTGCTTCCTTTGAAATTAAAATAAATGTAAAATTGAAAGATGACATATTTATGATGCAAATAAACAACAAATATTTAAATAAATAACATTAATTAGGAGCTAACATGCCATCAACATTTTTCCCTACTATACTGTACTATACTATACTATACTATACTATACTATACTATACTATACTATACTATACTATAGAATAAAACAATGATTATCATGTGATATAATGTAATGAAGTAAGTAAATATGTAAATTACTACACTTTACAAAGTGTGCATTTAAATGTGCTTTTAAAAATATGATGAAATGGAACATTTAAAATTGTCTTTTTATATCACATAATATAAATCATATAAATGCAACCTTGATGAGTATTACAGACCATAATCTTATAAAAACCAACCTTTCTAAATTGTTTTTATTTTAGAAATAGTAAGTAAAGTGTGTATGTGTGTGTTTCCCAGTAAACAGGCTCTGGTGTATAACTGTGTCGGCTGTGGTGCGTTTCATCTGCAGAGGATGGGGAAGAGGATAAACCAAGGCAAACAGTCAGTGTTTGAAAACCCAGATAACTCCATTTTTGTTAGTTTGCATAAATCATGTTGTTTTTTTGTTTGTTTTGTTTTTTGCAAATAAACTCTTCAATGCACAATACAAAAAAAAAACATGATTTTAGACATATTTTCATCGTTTATGCAACTGAATTTTCATTTGCACCTCCAGGATTGGTCTTTTATCTCGTCAATTGGCAAGTTTGTACTGTCGGTATGACTGTGTGTTTTTGTAAGTGTGTCTTTATGTGTTTGTTACAGTATGAAATATTCAGCAGCCACTGGACCACCAGTAGGGCCAAACTGTGAACACTGTGGACAGAGACATCAGGTCTGAATCCTTAATTTCTCTGCTTCGGTGTACTACAAAAATAAATAAAATAAACAATCTTATTTATAGGATATGTGATGTATTGTTTTTAGGATCTTGTATCTGTTTATTTGCTCATTTCTGCTTTTTTTTTTTTTTTACATTTCATGCTAATTAAAATATGCTACAAATTTGGTGGGATGTCTGTAGTAGTCCTCATAAATAAGTAATGACATTAGCTTTAAAATAGCTTTAAATCTTTAAAACTGCAGAAGCTTTAAAACTCATCATGTGAAATTCTTTTTGAATCAGACATTATGAAAATATTCTTAGGTTCTATATTAGTTTGTTTTGTGTGGTTTATACAGTTGAAACCAGAAGTTTACATACACTGTATAAAAAAGCACAAAACCATTTTAAAAAAGTCAGATGTTAATGTGACTAAACTTTTTCTCTTTTAGGTAAGTTAGGATTGTGAAATTTGTTAAGTTGTTAAGTCAAAGTCAAGTTTACATACAATAAGATTAAGCTCAGATGATGGTGTCAAGGTTTTGGAAGTTTCTAGTTGGCTAATTGACAACATTTGAGTTAATTGGAGGCACAACTGTAGAATAGTATTTAAGGAAAACCTCAAACACACTGCTTCCTTTTGTGACAACATGGGAAAATCAACAAGCCAGATTACAATTTGCTAAATTACACTGGGAAAAAGAATAATTTTTGGAGACATTTCCTGTGGTCTGATGGAACTAAGATTGAACTGTTTGGCCATAATGACCAGTGTTACATTTCGAGGACAACGGGGAAAGCTTACAAGCCTAGGAACACCATCCTAACTAACTGTGAAGTATGGGGCGGCAGCATCATGTTGTGGGGCTGTCTTGCTACAGGAGGGACTGGGCCACTTCACAGCATAGATGGCATCATGAAAAAAGAACATGATGTAGAAATAATGAAGCAACATCTCAAGACATCAGCCAGGATATTAAAATTTGATATTAAAATTTCTAAACAGACCATGACCCTAAGCATACTGCCAAATTAGTTCAAATGTGCTTTAAGGACAACAAAGTGAATGTTTTGGAGTGGCCATCACAAAGCCCTGATCTCAATCCTATAGAAAATTTGTGGGCAGAGTTGAAAAGGCTTGTGCGAGCAAGACAACCAACAAATCTCACTCAGTTACACCAATTCTGTCAGGAGAAATGTGCCAAACTTCCTTCTAACTATTGTGAGAAGCTTGTGGAAGGATACCCAAAACATTTGACGAAAGTTAAACAGTTTAAATGCAAAGCTAAAAAAAAACAAAAACAAGGAAATGTATGAAGCTTTTTGTCTTTTTAGAAATTAATAAAAAAAAAATCTCTCATTATCCTAACAGACCTAAAATAGTAAACAATTAGTATGATTCACCCTCAGACATTAAAAAAAATGGTTATGTTCCTTTTTTTAGAGTGAATGTAAACTTCTGGTTTCAACTGTATATATAAATGTATTTGTAGAATTTATGTTTTAGTTTTTCATATACTTAATATGAGTAATATCGATTTCGTATTGCAATATATGAATTTGAACTTCTAGTTATTCCTCCGTCTGCGTTTTTAGTTGGGTGGTCCCGCCTGGGCGGAGCCTCTTCATGACATCAACTTTGTTCAGAAGGTTCTGGGTGCTGTTTCAGGAAACCCCACACGCTTCAGAACGTCTAAGCGGATCGAAGGAATGCTCAGCATGGTGACCGAGGTCAGTCGTTAATGAAATATTTAAATCCATTGACATTATCATAACATCTTAAATGTCTCTGGAAAGTAATGGCTTGACTAGAGAAAGAGCTGTGTGTGTGTGTGTGTGTGTGTGTGTGTGTGTGTGTTTCAGGAGCTGCAGGATGTTCCTCTGTACTACACTTTAGATCATTTGAGCAGCACAGTTCACCGCAGTACACCGCCCATGATGCAGTTCAGGTAAACTAAATACAACATTTTGTATTTACGTTACTGTTACAAAGCTTGTGGTCAGTACTGACACTTTTTCGTCTGTATGGATGGAGGATTTCCACCGTGTACCATTCCTGGAAATATTTACTACCACCTCGACTGCATCGTTTTATGATTGGTATTAATGAAGGTCTTCACAAGTTCACAAATTAGCTTTTTTTTAGAATATATTATTTAAAGACAATGTACCTCAAAATGTTGCAACATGGTCAACAGAAAGTTGGCCTACTCCTCACCCATTCCTCCAAACAAACAGATCGCCAGGTAGAATAAAAGAAATGGAAGAGATCAGTCATAAACCTATGACAGTGAATAGCCAAGAAGCAATAAAAACAAATGAATGCTTCTACAAGCTGTATTGTTATTAAATGGGATGTGTAAACAATCCACATCATGATTTTGTCAAGTATGATGCGATCCTGGGTTAAAATCTATGTTGATCCTCGAACAACATTTTTGTTGGAAAATGTAATCCATATGTAATCCCTACCCCCTAAACCCAACCATAACTGTAAATAATTCCCAAAATCAGAGGAGAATAATAGTTGAATAACAATCATGTAGAAGTGCATAAACCTAACCGTAAGCCTAAACCTAACATAAGTGGTAAACATATCCCTTAAATCTGATTGGTAGAATAAAATGTTGTTCCAGGATCAACATAGATGTTAATTCAGGAACATGTCCTACTTGGTGGAATCAGATTGACGTGTAAACACTGATTGGCCAAAGAGAATTATCATTACCTGCGTAATTGGATTTGTAACATATAAACCAAACCTGCTAGATTTACAGTCATGTGAAAAAGTTTGGACACCCTTTTGAATTACATGTTTTTCGGTATCAGGAGATAATAACAAACAAGCAAAAACATTATAGGCAAGTCTTAAAATTGGTAAGAGAACACCTCACATTATTTATTGAACAAAAATAAAGCCATGAAAACAAATAGAAAAGCCATGGGTGACTGTAGATCCACTTCTAGCAGTAAATACTTCAAGTAATCATTTTCTGTATGACCTTCACATCCTAAAATCCTAAAAACTTCAGTCAGAATTAGGTCTGAACTTTGACTTCACTATTGCCTATTGTTGCTTTCGTAAATTAGTTCTGTAGTAAGTGCAGCATTGTAAAACAATTGGCCGAGTAATTGGTAGTTCATTATGCTGTGGCAACCTCTTATAAAGCAGGGAATAAGCAGAAGGAAAGCGAACAAGTGAGTTCACCTGTAGATTTGCTGGTGTGCTTGGGATCATTGTCTTACAGCATGACCCAGTTTTGGCTAAGCCTCAGCTGTAGGACGAGCATTGTGTTCACACACACCTGATGGCTCCAAAACTGCTGAAACTTCTGCTAATGATCAGTTCAAGCATTCGATTAGCAGTGCCTGACTTATTTTTCTTAATACTTTGTCTAAGGTTTTATTTTCCAAATTGCAAAAGACCTGATTTTTTAGGGTGTGCTAACTTTTTCACATGATTGGGAATATTCAGCTACAGCCACCACAGAATCATTTTAAATGACGGGTGCAAACATTCCCTTCACTGGTAGCTGAGGATGGGGCAAACAGCATCAGTGGAGGCAAAACTATAACCATATCTATAAACCCACAGACTTTCAAGATGTAATAAATTGAGGTGGAAAGTAAAATGAGCTGAGACTAGTTGAATTAAACTGAGGCTGTGCGGGATGGATTTTTCGGTCCCGCTCCAACAAGATTCTGGTCCGCTCCTTTAAAAATATATATTCTTTTCTCCTGCTCCCACCTGCAGTGTTCATGTTTTGTCCCACTCCAGACTGCAAAAGTTTGCAGGTTACTATCTTATTTGTTTCACCTGCTTCCTTTTTGAATCTAAATAAAACAAGAAATGAAAATTAAACAAATGTTTTGTTTTATTTGAGTTTAACTAAATTGAAGGATGAACATGGACACGAATGAGGACTTTTAAGATCATAGAAATACAGTCAGAACAGCCTAAAGTTCAGTGTACAAATGAATTAGCTTCTGACATTTCGCCTGTAAATAGTTATTTTATTTTAATAGTTATTGTTGCTTTTGTGCAGTAGATAAATAGTGAAATATTTTTTTTAAATATATTAATTTTAAGATATTTCCATTTTGTGGGAGTCCCAAAAATAATTGTATTCTCCCCCAACCTGCACGTACATGAGGACCTTACTACCCGCACCCAAATTTATCCATTTACATTTTGTCAGCCAAGGGAGTACAAGTCTCTATTGCACCGCACACACCGAAAAAGCGTATCGTAATGTGTATCGTAACCTGCCAAATTGGCTAGTGTGTTGATATGATTCTGTTGTGTAGGTCAGCCCTCCTGCATGCTGGATACAGAGTGTCTTTCTCTCATGCCTGTAAGAACGCAGTGAAGACCGACGCTCCCGCGGGGGTGTTATGGGATATCATGCGCTGCTGGGTGAGCTGCCCTCATTCACTATTAACATCCGATCTAAAAGTCCTTTCACTTTTCTAATGGTGCTTCTCTCTTTAACTCCTCAGGAAAGGTCTAATCCTGTGAAGAGAGAGCGATTATCAGAAACCAGTCCTGCTCACCACATTCTCTCCAAAGAGACAACGTAAGCAGCAAAGGCATCTTGTATTTACTTATTTAGTCTTCATGCTATGGTCACATGAGAGCAAAATTTGAGAACACTTTATGAATACCTGATTAAAAAAATGTTTTAGTCTTCTTTGTTTAAATTTTGAAGGAATTCTAAGGTGCTTTCACTCTAGAGCTTTTGGTCCGCAACCCGGTTCGTTTGGCATCTGAATTTGGTATGTTTAGCTAGTGTGAACATGTCTTCTGAACTCAGGTGCGCACTTGTGAACCGTACCCGAGTCCGGCTGAAAGAGGTGGTCTGGAGTACAGTTTGTGGGAACTCTGGTCCGGTTCACTTCAGATATGAATGCAATCATACCAAATAATGAAAGTAAACCGCCAACTGTACAACAAACTTTAGCTTTCATAACGTTCATTCGTGTCTGTATGTCTGTGTATCAGTTATCTTGGTGACAAGAGTTAAGTTATCTGCTTATTTCCACCAAAAACAACTGCCGCAGACATTGTGTGATGTTCACGTTTTTAATATTATTTGCAGCAGATAGACGCCGGTGCCTCTCTGTATTTAGGTTTTGGTAACAAAAGCAAAAGACTCAGTAAAAGCAGAATGGCTGTGATATGCGTACATCTATTAAATTAGTATTAGAATATTAATGACAACAGAACATGGGTTGCTTGATAATTTGTTACTTCATTTAAGTTTTGTTTTTAATTTGTAAATTGTTTTAAATTCAAAATTGTAATATATAAATCAGTGTAAACATATGAAAGGTGGAAAACATATTATGTATTTATGTGTTAAAAGCACATGGTCTCCTTTTTTGCCATGGTCTCTCTTTGGTTTTAACAAACTTGTCCCTCAAGTTTTTCTTTAATTATTGGCCATCGGGTTATCCCTATGATAACACATGGATGGATCACCAAAATCTCCAAAATGAATCATATTCTACTTCAATGAAATGTGGCGCACGCCAACTGTTCGCTCGAGAAAAATGTGAATCACCACAAACAACGTGATGACATCACACTTAATCGAACTAGCAGACGTGTCGAGTATAAATCAACCTGTCTACCAGTAACTCTGTTCCTTCTCAAATATCTCCTTTTTTTATTTTTACTGAGCTTAAGAATATATGCATCTTATAAACTATGCTTAAAGGGTTAGTTCACGTAAAAAAGAAAATATATTCTTTATTTTACATGTTTGTATACATACATACATGTATGTATGTATGTATGTATGTATGTATGTATGTATGTATGTATGTTTATTTATGTATGTATGTATGTATGTATATTTATGTATGTATGTCTGTATGTATGTATGTATGTATGTTTATTTATGTATGTATGTATGTATGTTTATGTATGTATGTATATATGCATGTATGCGCATACATTTGTATAAACATTACTGGTTTTCCAACACTATTTAGAACAACAGTATTCAAAAGAGACTATTTAGAAGTATTGATCTATTTTTTTTACTCTACATACATTTATATTTTTTTATTTTCTTTATTCATTCTTTTGTGAGGTTTTAAACCTTTCTGAGTTACTCTGTTGAACACAAAAGTAGATATTTTAGAATGCTGGTTACTTGCACCCACTGACTTCTGTAGTATTTGTTTTTTTTTCTTCGTATTTTGCAAGTCAATTGGTGTCTGCGACCAGCATTATTCAAAATTGAAGTTGTGAAAACCTCTAAATACCATCTGATTTTTATTTATTTATTTTTTCTAAAAAAAAATTCTCAGCCTCCGGTTCAGTAATATCACTTTTATGGCAATTATTAGGTTATTTTCATTGTGTTTAAAGTGAAATTACTGAACATATAGTCAGGTCAAGTAGAGCTTCATTGTCATTCCGCTACATGTGTGGACATGCAGAGGAATAAAATGTTGTGTCTCGCAGGACAACAGTGCCACATAAAATAATCATAAATACAAACACAACACTGGACATAAGAGCCATTTAAAAATAAACACCTAACATAATCTAAAAGATACTTAACTTTACACATAAGACAGGCCATAAAAGTACTTTTACAGTACAATGTTGTGCAGGATATTGCGCAAGAGAGGTATTAAAAGAAATTTTAAGGTTTGGATATTGTGCAGAAGAGTTATTTGAGGTTGAATCAAGCAGTGCAACATAATTGTGGTACATTTATAGTAACCATCATTTTTCTTATTGAGTCCATATAAGATGGAGTTTAGATTAAGTGTTCGGTACATTAGATAAAGAGTTTTTACAGGTGGTTTGTCATGCCCACTTACCTGTATGTAGCACAATTTGAAATGCACAATGTTTCCAAGAGACATGGAGTGATTAAGAAAGTGTACATAGGGGGCTGAAAAAAATGCTGATCTTAGAAGAAAATTTCAGACAACACTTAGAAGCTTTTGCACCTGAATTCTTATTATCTTCTTTTGTGTTCAACGGAAGAAACTCAAAAATGTTTTGATCAAGTGAAGGGAGAGTAAATGATGACAGAATTATCTTTATTTTATTTATTTTTTTTTGCATGAACTATCCCTTTAGAAAACGGATCATATCTTGATCTCCACTCCATGTTTCTATATATAAGTTCTAATATTTACCTTCACACTCTCATTTAGTCTTGAAGCCTGTTTTGAGATCAGAGAGGACGCGAACCCTCAGTCACGCAAACGCCACCTCACACGCTTCCAGGAGAATCCACAGGCCAACTGGGGACCAAAAGCACGTGCCAAAGCTGGGTGCGTCACTCTCTCTGCTGCTTTCTTCTTCAAATCAGTCACATGATCCTAAAAGTTTAAACAATCTCTCTGTTTTTAGTGGAGGAATCGCCTCAGAGCTCGAGGACAAGAGAAAACAGTTTCAGGGTAAAAGGAAGAAACCGATCACGCATTCCTCTCAACTCAAGAGTTTCCCTTGTAAGAAGTTTCGCAAGGTACGTTCACCTGAAATCAGTAAATGAAAGGGATTTTAAACATTTTTACTATGACATTAAAGGGTTAGTTGAAAACACCAAAGTTGAAAATTCTGTTATTAATTAATAGCCAACAATTCCCTGAGAACTTCATTCATCTTCTGAACACAAATGAAGATATTTTGGATGAAATCTGAGAGCTCTGTCATCCTCTATACACAGTAACAGTCATTAAACGGGGTTCCCACTCTTTCATGGACATCAAATTCAAGAGCTTTTTAAACCACTAATAATGTTAAACCTTTGTAATTCACAGCCCCAGCATATATAGTCTTTCCTGTTCTTAACATTTAATTCACACTTATGATTTTAGTTTTTGACCCTTCTTAAGCATAAAACATATTTAATAAAACATGGCAAGTGAACATTCTTCTTTATCTGCAAAGCAACGCTGAAGTCAGATATTCTGCTTTGAAAATGTGTTATCCGTGCCGGAACGCTGTCTTTGGTTCTTTTAACCTGCCCACTGCCAGCTTATATTTCAGCAACCCCAGTTGGAAAACTGCATATTTCATTAATTCATTCAGAAAGGCTCTGAAAGTGTGTGTCCATGCCCGAAGCAGACTCCTAAATAAGACACAGATTCAGTTTCATATGGATTATTAATAGCAAATAATATCAATTTTATGAACTTATACATTGTAACTGCGTATCCTAACAACACGCAACGTGACAAGATTTGCAGTGATAAGCAATTGGCTGTTGGCACAAGACAAAACACGACAGATATTTAAATACAGCCATTCAGAATCACAGAATATGCTCTCACTCACAAAATGATAAGGCTTATAATCTAATTAATACACAATAAACCTCTTCAACATTATTTACCTGGCAGACTGCACTTGCGTTTGTTTTGATCTAGGAATGCAATACCTAGTTTAAACACTGTGTGTCAAACTTACATACCGTACCTTTTAAAACAATATAGTGGAGGAACTATGAGGTCAATTTGTATGCAAAAACCCGGAAGCGAGTTAGCATGTTAGCAGTTCCAGTTCCCTCGTCCCAGAGTCGATGGGTTTTTTCAATGGGATTTCAGTTAAATCGCTTAAGGGTCGTCTAACACAAACTCAAGATACTTTTACGTTTTATTCTACGACATAAAACACATCAGTTTCAGCACACTCTTGATTTTTTAAATCGGTTATGCTTCTTTAAAAAGACGGTCGCTATCAAGTTGCTAAATGAGACAACAGGCGATGTCAGAGACATTATACATCATTGAGCTGAACTAGTCTGGAGAGCAGCTCGCTTGTGTTAGGCATTTGAATTTGTCGGTTATTTAAGTATTTTTATAAATAGTATTTTATAGTTTGTAGTGTTTTTCTAATTGGGATTTCATATTGTGTGTAGATAATGCCTTCACTTGTCAAGACCGATTCATATGCTGATCATTTATTTTAATTAAACAATATTATGGGGATACTTCTTACCAGTGCAGCCTGTCTCTTTCCTGCTCTCAGTAATGCAAACCTTTGAATAAATGTGTAAAAATGCATACTAACTGTCATTTTAATGTGATCAGTAGATTTTATAACTGCGATATTTACACTCCTCCTTAATATATGACTGTATGGGCTGCTTTTCGCTGTACTTTATGACAAAAAAAAAAAAAGAATATTGAATGTTGTTTTGCGTCCATGACGGGACTTGCAGGCATATAGACTTGTCCCTCACGCCTCATTTCTGTCGTTTATTACTAAAGTAAGCAGGCTGTATGCACACAAGCGAAACACTTATTTAAATATTTCTTACTATGCATACCATGTAGGCACATTTATACATACAGTAATAAAACTTTTAAATCGACCGTGAGGCAACAAAAATGTATTTCTTACGTTAAAAAAATCCAAAAGGCACGTAGGTCTATGTGTATTGGCATATTTTTTTGTTTAAAATATATAGCCTGGGTTATAATATAATAAACCGAGAGAGTAAATCTTTGTCATGGACCATATTTCTAAAAATAAGCTTAAAGTTGTCTGTAGCAGCGTAGTTCTGACGTCACAAGTGAGCGCCGCGAAGGCACTGTAGTCCGTTTATAGCCGTTATATATAAACGGTCTACGTATATGTTGTGAACTGAGGTGGGCCGGTGTGAGGCTTGAAACTCCAGGGCTGAAAAGGAGTGCCACTCCGGCCCGGAGTCATACGAAGCTCCAAGAACAATTTTGTGCACCACAAACTGTATGAATGACTTTGTTCGCCTTTATCTTCTGTCTCATTTTAGGTCAGGGTGCGTTTACTATGTGCAGTATATGGCATATGATATGCCACAGCCATATCACCCTGCAGCCCAAGACTGGTTACTCACTGAAGCTAAGCAGGGCTGAGCCTGATCAGTACCTGGATGGGAGACCACTAGGGAACACTAGGTTGCTGTTGGAAGTGGTGTTAGTGAGGTCAACAGGGGGCGCTCAACCTGTGGTCTGTGTGAGTCCTAATGCCCCAGTAAAAGTGAAGGGGACACTACACTGTCAGTGGGCGCCGTCTTTCAGATGAGACGTTAAACCGAGGTCCTGACTCTCTGTGGTCATTAAAAATCCCATGGCACTTCTCGTGAAAGAGTAGGGGTGTAACCCCGGTGTCCTGGCCAACGTCCCTCTATCGGCCCTTACGATCATGGCCTCCCAATCATCCCCATCCACCGAATTGGCTCTATCACTGTCTTTCCACTTCACCAATAGCTGGTGTGTGGTGAGCGCACTGGTGCTGTTGTCCTGTGGCTGCCGTCACATCATCCAAGTGGATGCTGCACACTGGTGGTGGTGTGGAGAGTCTCCCTCATGATTGTTAAGCGCTTTGGGTGTATGGCCATACACAAATGTGCTATATAAATACACATTACATTACATTACAGTATAGTGTATTACCATTAGAGTCAGCATTATTGTCACTATTGACTGTAGTAAATGGACACTCTGACCTGATGTGAAAGACATCGACAAAAACAGTAGTGTGTACAGTTTTTGGCACTTAAGTGTTTTTGGAGCTTTAAGCTTAGTAGTTTGAAATATAATGCTAAAGTATAAAGATTGAAAATTATTATAATTTAGTAGCCCCTTTCACACAGTGATATTGGTAAACGACTTCCAGAATGACTTCACTGGTAAATCCTTAAAAAAGTGCTGTTCACACAAGCACGGGCGTTCCAGAATTTTTCCAGAATAGACAATTCACACATCCATTCCAAAATACCAGTAAATTCTGACATCATAATGCAGAAATTACCTCTAAACGGCAGCGCTTGGATTCGTCAACACAGAAGGGGTCCGGCGTTTGTTTTGTGAAGAAGGGGTCCGGTGATTTCACTATTATTTAAAGCGTTATCATTTATGCAGCTGCTTTGTGAGACATCCAGATGGCAGTAACGCAAACCGAAGCTAAATGTTTACAAACATGATTACATTACAAATGCTGTGGATAATTAAGTATTGTGAAAACATATGGAAGAACACTTTGGCATGTCAAGATGTTCATAATATGTGTGTGTGCTGCCGCTCACCGGCTCCTTCAATTGCACACGCATCAAGCAACTGAAGCAGTGAAGGTAAACAAACAGCGCTTTATTATAAGCATTTCATCGATAATTATTTACACAGTTGGCACTAAGAATGAACACAGAAACGTTTTCTGACTAACACCTAGCAGCTAAATGTGTCTGGAAAAATTTTCAAGGGCTTTCATTTTCATAAACAGCACGGATGTGAATGCGTCTGAGTATTCTGATTGGAGCAGACGTTTGACGTCAGTGTGTTCTAGACGTGAACGCGCTCTCTCCAGCAATCTTCCTTCTGTGTTCACACAGAGCAGCATTCCAGAAAATTACTAGTAAATGTTACCACTTTTCTTACTGGAAAATTGCCGGAGTAAATTTACCAGTGTTTTCAAAAAGGGCCTGTTCACACATACAGACCTTGCCGGAAAATTTCTGGTAATTTTCTGTAAAGGTCTAGATGTGTGAAAAGGTCTAGTGTTTCAGACTGCACTCCAATCTTTAAAAAGTGTTTATATATATATATATATATATATATATATATAAGAGATTTTGTTTTGGATGATTTTGTTTTGGATGAAGATGAATAAAAACTGCTCATATAGGAAAAAAACAGCAATTCACAGCAACTAATAAAGTTAATATTATCCTTTCTTTTCAGGGAGCGTGCACATTAGGAGACAAATGCTGCTATTCACATGATCTTGAAAAGGAAGCTGAGGAAAAGATGGATTAATTGGTTTTCTCACTCTTGGATGTTCATCACGCAGCTGTGAAATGTGTCCCGCGTTCACTGGTTAATGAGCGATACTTTATGAGATGTAAATGAAATTTCTCGTAGCAATTTCAAATCTGTTGACAAGATCAGATTTTCGTTAATTGGAGTTGTGCAGAATTAGAATTTTGACAAGCCCAGGATGCCTATATGGGACACTCTATTCTGTGTGTTTATTCTGTTTTACTTTGTGTTTTATTTTCGCCTGGCAAATAAATACGAAAATGAACGTTTTTAGTAATGTACAGGACACATTTATTTATTCCACAGTTTATTCTTTAAGTGACATTTTCATTCATACGAAAGGCACAGTAGAAAAATACCATGAAAAATATTGCACAAATCAATCTCAGGAGATCAGTGGTGAACAATTAATAGCTACGAAAGTTCTTGTAGATCTTTTTTTTTTTTTTATGAACATGACATTGATGTGTGAAATATTTCCAAATTTGAAATAAAAAAAAAAAAATACTTGGTAATTTTTGGTCCACTGAATCAGTTCATTGTATTATGCAAAAAAAAAAAAAATCTACACATCATTTTTTTTCAAATCAGTGCCACGGGTTTTGATACTGCAATGCTGCATTTTGATTGGTTCTTACAGAAGCCGAACTCGTAACAAGAAGGTGCGGATTTCCATTGGTTTTAGTGTCACTTCCCATGATGAAGGATCTCTGGCAGTGGGCGGAAGGGCATCTTTTTCTGAAAGACAAATAAATCAAACACATTAATTCTTTACAAATTATATTTGAGTTCTAATTACAGCGATTACAAATAAGAGAACTTAGCTACCAGTGTTCCAGTGCAGGCGGATCATGTCCTCTTTCCACTGGTTTGCTCCTAAACTCATCTCAGACGCTCCCAGCACCTGCAGAGTAGAAAACAGCTTCTGCAAACACAAGAGCAAGATTACATGATCAGTTTTAGCTTGAAAATCAGCCATTCAAGATTGAGTACATGTGCTAACATGTACACTTCTCTGCCTCGAGTGCTTCACTGCTTTCTATGAAACTATAATTATTCATAAATATTAGAATGTTAAGGACTGAATTTTTATTAAAACTTAAGTCATGCCATATTCTTTGGATTACAACAAGATTCCACAAACATTTTTTTTTTTTTATTAACAGCATAAATAATTTTTTTAAATATATTATTTCTTTAAAAAGTGAGATCACTATACTTTGTGGTTTATTATATTGACATTAAATGATAGGTAATGCTGCAGTTTGATGGTTTTAAATGGTTGAGAAATGGACAGAAAATAGGACATCTTTCTCCTTTGCTCTCATTTTCTGTAAGCCTCAGTTAGTAATATGTAGAACTTTTAAAGTACTGGATTAATTTATCAAGATTTTGTTCTGCGAAATTAAGTAATAAAATTAACTAAAATAACTTTTTACATATTAAGAAAAACGCTTGTTTCTTGTAAAAGAAATCACTGACTGAATTGGAAACTTGTTAATGCAAGACATTTGTAACTTTAACACAATTAGTGAAGTGATTCAGAACTGCAAGAAAGTCTAAAAAATTTGAAGACTTGACGGGAAAAAAAAGGTTAAAGACGTGAGAACTTGCAACTTGCAAGTCATATAAACTGTGAGAAATAAAACTTGAAAGCCCCTAAACTATATAAAGCCTAAAATTTGGATTTAAAAAAAAAAACAAGCTTAAAAATAAATAGTACAGTCTGAATCCTATAAAATAAAAGGTGCGTTCAACTTCATGCTGTGCAGACCGTAAAGTGGTGCATGCCAGTTAGAAATTTTGTCCAGCTTGACACTGCTGATGTCTCACATGTGGCATCAAAGTACCGCGACAGTGCTCTGAGATCAGACGATTGATTCAGCCGGTGCAAGAAGCATGGTAAAGCCTATATCAGATATGAATACACATGTGAAGAGAGTCTACAGGAGCTGCGATTACTACACTGATATTACACCATTGGCTGGATTCATGACAACAACCACATGTGTTTCAGGTTTATTATTGGACAAATTCCATCTCACAAATTTCCAAACACAATTAACTTTTCATACCATCTCTAGTTTGTATACATCTTGTATATATGCTTTTTAAAAGATTACAAATATTTTACTGCAGTATCATCTTTTGTAAATAACTGGTTTATAAAGGCTAGATTGTAGCTCACTTATTTTGGAAATGTCCTTTTGTTCAATCTTGTTGGATTAAATGTTTTTTTAAATGCTTTCATTATCCAAAATAATCTTAATCATAGTTTAAGACTTAATCAAAACACCTTGTTTAGGGTTTTACACTAATATATATTGAAAAGTTTTAGATTTATAAATGTAAACTCCTTTTTGGCATATTTAAACAAGAAGTATTAGACTAAAGCATGATGATGATGATAAACTCCTATTTGTGCTCATTGCTTTGTATTTAGTAGACCTATTAGTGGATATTTATTTCCTTTTATTGTATATATTACCCTCTCAATTAGTCTTATTTCTCTCATGAATTTGTTATATAGGCTACTTACATTTAATTCCTGATTCCCTTTTTCTTTAATGAACTATAGTTTGTAGAGACTGTATTCTGTTTTATTTGTACTGTAAATCTTTTGTTGTTAAAAATAAATAAACAATAAATGATGATGATGCCATGACATGTGATCGGTCATTATGACTGCCCTACTTTGAGTACCGAAGTGTCTGGCTTAACAGCTCTGTTTTTAACTCCACCCCCACCTGCGCTCGGCTAATCTTGCTGGTCACCGGCTGCAGCCGTGCTTCAAGTCGAACGCACCACTTAAAATTGAAACAAATTCAAAAATATATAGCTTTATATCTAACAATTGAGTGTTTTATCCTCATTTTAAGACATTTTTTCAAGTGTCTGGAAACTTTTTTTTTAATCATACCAACTCTCTCAAAAACTAATCACCACAGTTAACAGTGTAAACATAAATTAAACCATGTGTGTTTTCATGTGTCACCTGTAGGTTGACAGTAACAGGCTGCGAGTGTGTTTTGCTCTCTTTAGCCTGGTACTGATGCTCCAGCCTGACCAAAACTGAATCCTGATCCCACTGTGACACTGTCAGCAGATGAACAGCAGGGGGCAGAGCAGCCTGAAGCCCAGAGAACTATGAGGAAACAAAAAAAACAACAACAGTCATTCATGATCATTAAGCAGCAGTTAATTTCCTCCACTGATTATCCACAAACCTCCAGTTTAGTGCCAGGGGAAGGAGCACCGTCCTGGAAGGAGAGCAGGGGTTGGAGCACCATGGACTGTGCGAGTGGTCTGTGGAGGTCAGCGGCTGCTTCTGGAGGACTGAGGGTCAGCAGGAGACGACCACGAGCCACTAAACCATGAGCAAACTCTCCCGGCTCAGACAGAGGCTCTCCAACACCACGGAAATCATCATACAGAAGTCTCCTGTGCAGCTGAGGGAGAAAACAATCAGATGTTAGCAGTTGAAGACCACTTCGGTGTTCGATTTGTTGTCGGTTTGCACACTTCTTGGCAGAAAGGTTTAATGATCTGGACAAAGAGGGGGAGTTCTACTCATACATAAACATACATGATAAACATGCATAAATATACATATGATACATACATACATACATACATACATACATACATAACTAGTTATGTGTAATAACAATGGAATGATAAGCAGAAAGTTAAGCTGCCATCACCAAAAAAATCCTTTTATATAAAGTATTAAATATAATTTAGGAGTTCAGTACTACTGAAATGTATTTAATACTTTATAAAACATACTTTTTTGGGGCTGGCAGCTCAAAGACGCCTCTCATATGGAGAAAGAAGTCATATGAATTGCTCAGGTGTGAAATTTTTACAGACTTCAACAGATTGTAAAAATCATGATGCATCTGTTGGTTTCGTCTTCAAAATCGGCTCTTTATTTTCTATTCTCTATTGCATTCAAGTCAGGTGATTGGCTGGACCATTCCACAGCCTGATTTTCTTTTTCTGAAAGCATTTGGTTCATCTTCATCATCCTGATAATGTAGATGTTGGACTGAAGCAGCTTATATTCATTTATAATGGCGAAGAGCGGAGAGTTGCTAAATAACTACTGAGGGATTTAAGCATCTGTCTGGGCTTTCATTGCCTTTCTACACCTCCCTTTCTTCATGTGTTCAATACTTTTTTTTCTGTGTAACTTCATTTTATTACACTTAACTTCATTTGTAAACTAATTAGATTTGTTTTCTTTGCTATAATAAATTTCTCTTGTTACCAACATTCGAGGAAAGTTTCAAGTCAACAGCACCTTTAGAAATAGGTTTTCTGAGAAAAATGATGATGTGTACAATACTTACTTTACCCTGCTGTACGTACATACATGCAGGCATACATACATACAAAAGACCACTTGAATTCTGTTTCTTTGTATTTATTACATACAAGTTTGAGAATATTTGTTTTGTTCAATAAAAGGTCATTTGCTTTTCTGAACTTTTCAGAATATAGTCTTGTCTAAAAAATAAATAAAAACAAAAATAGCTTTAAGCACATGCCACCTTTTTTTTTTTAGATAAATGGAAATTTTATCGATATAGCCCCCCTGTGTATTTTTTCCCACAATTTCTGTTTAAAAGAGAGAAGATTTTTTAACATCTCAACATAAGTTTAAATGATTTATTTCTAAAAACTGATTTATTTTTATTTTTATACTTTGCCATGATTACAGTAAATAATATTTGACTAGATATTTTTCAAGACACTTCTATACAGCTTAAAGTGACATTTAAAGGCTTAACTAGGTTAATTAGGTTAACTAGGCAGGTTAGGGTAATTAGGTAAGTTATTGTGTAACGATGGTTTATTCTGTAGACTATCCAAAAATATATAAAAGAGCTAATAATTTTGACCTTTAAATGTTAAATTTTTTTAAAGATTGCTTTTATTTTAGTCGAAATAAAACAAATAAGACTTTCTCCAGAAGAAAAAATATTATCAGACATAATGTGAAAATTTTTTGAATCTGGGAATTTGGGAAATATTTATAAAGAAAAAAATTTCAAAGGGGGGGCTAATAATTCTGGCTTCAACTGTAAAATTGTTTAATTTTATTTTCTTCAAACTGTTCAATTTGATAAAAAAAAAAATCACTAAAATAAAAATAAAAAATGGATGGTAAAAAAGGATAGTATGTAAATTAAAAAATATCTAATGGACACCTATCTAATGTAAGGAAAAATATATACTGTAAGGCAGACAAAAAAAATAATAA